AAAAATCTTTCAAGAGAATAAATTAAAAATGATTATTCATATATAATTAGATTATATATATATAATTCTGATTAATTTATGATTTAATTATTTCTTCGACTAAGATTAATCTAAATAATACTAATACTAAAATCGTAAATCTATTAAGATTAATATAAATTATACTAATATCTCTAATATCAAATATCTCTAATTTTTATAACGACCATGAATACTAATATATTAATCTCTATATATACTAATAAATTAATGCTTATTTAATAGAAATATAAATCATAAATTTAAATATCTTTTATTTTACAAATGCAATCTATTTCTTTGCCGGAACAGCATACAGAACAAATGAGAGCTTTAACTCAGCAATATATTCAAAACTTCGATCAATTTATGGATGTAACTATTTCTTTACCATCTTAGGAATCATACCATCAAGTCAATGAAGCCATTGATTTCCCTAATTAGAAAGCTAATGTCTCAAGAGCAAAAATGGCATCTCAAACAGTGAGATGAATTGATTGTGTTTAACTGCTCTTTTCGAAGTATCAAAATTATAAACAAGGTCTCGAGCAAATTAAAATGAAAATAGTTGAACAAAAAATTAATTAAGATAACATTATTTTTACAAATGATTTAGATGGAATTCTTAACATATATATATTCTCCATTTGCACGTGGCATAAATGGACATTATGTTTCTTTAATAGTCAAAAAGTGCTTCCAACAATAATTGATTAGTTTATATCAAAAGTTTTATTAGATTCAAGAATATAATTTGTGACTTAGAACTCCTAAATATTAAAGGTTTGAATTCAAGCTTTAGCAAAACCAAAAAAGATTTGTACAATTTTGAATTAATATTACAATTAATGGAACAACATGAATATCAATTTTTTCTGTATTTTTAAATTATTTAATCCATATATCCCTTAATTTAACAAAATTTTCTAGACAATTATCATCTCTCTAATCTTCAAGTAAATAATTTTTACTTCTGTGCTACTTTTTTTTAAAATGTTAATAATAACATAATAAATCTAAAATGTTATGTTATCACTATAAAAATTTGAAAACATAAGAAAATTATTCTACCGCTTACAGAGGTGGATAGTTTTTCATAATTTAAGATGGATTAATTTTGGTAAAGAATATTATGATCATATCAATTTGAAAATAATTTAATTACTAACATTTAAAGGATAAAGAAGGATAAAAAGAAGACACATTACGCTTCACATGCTACTCCTCCTTTCTTAATCGTTCTATCATTTGCTGACTGAATAGCACTATTATTTCCATTTCTTGAAGCGAAAGTTGAGTAACTTAAGAAATAAGTGTTAAAAGCAACTAGAATTACCAATTCACTTTTCATAGCAATCTAAGGTAATAGATTATAATTCAACCTGGTATAGTTAAGGATCCTACATAAGTGTAATATGTTGGATTGGCATCTAATTATGATCCGAAGAGATCATAGAAATTAATAGAGGCTACCACTAATGTAAAGTGATATGTGGTTAATTTGTGCTCGAAACTTCGAATAAAATTGAAAGTATACTTTCGTAATGGTGGCACTGAACTCAGACTAAAAATAACACTACTTAATTCTATTTTTAATTTGTGGGCTATTTGCATTTCTAAATCATAGCAAGAGCCTTCAATATTATGTTCATATGGTCTGTAAAACATAAATTATGTCGCAGTGTAACCAAAGATATCTTGAACAAATACCATAAAGATTTCCATTGATATCTGGTGTATATAAATTTGAGATGGTTGCTTACGATTCAATCATATATGGCACTCTTTCCATCACAATTTACATTCCATTGTTTTTGAAATAAATATCTAGAACGATAGAATTATTACAGGTTCCTGATGATACCTCTAAGTTGATTGGACTTTTGAGAAGTACGGCCTAAAATTATGATTAATTATATCACTTGAACAAACTCCTGAGGTCTAATTAATTTTAGACAATATAAAGAAGATGGATTATCAACACAATCATTCAAAATCAATAATTTAATTAATAATATAGCTCATTTTTGTTTTTTCTTCTTGTTTTCATCCTCATCTAATCTTGAGCAATCCTATATTCTTTAATTGGAGTTTTCAATTAAATTAATCAATTTTGTAAGTTGAACATCAACTTTTGTATTCTTAAATAGTTGTTATTTTAGGCTACTAAATTCAACGATCCCTCCATTTAAATACTGGGCTAAAATTTTAAACAAATGAATACTTGAAAACATGTCCACTGTAAATGGCAATATTGGATGTAAGCATGCTTTATTTTTCTCATTGCTAAATTTCATTAAACATTCAAAAATTGCAGCTGGATTCGGCAAATATAATTATTCATCATTATTAGGATAGTATTTTTTCAAAATTGGTAAAATACTATCAATAATTCCATTATTATTCAATTTTGTATTTAATTCTTGAAGAATGTTTTCAAATAATAATTCAAACAAAAGAGCTTTACAAAATTAGAGTAAAGTGAATGTTTTCTTGAAAAGCAATTCCTTCATAATAAAACAATAAATTACTTCATCAAGATTTGCATATAAGGAGAGTGAACTAACAACTATATCTCTCGGAAAGTCTGAACATAATAATTTAGTTAGTTAGAAATAATCAAATCCTGACTTGTCTTCGAAACTTTCAAAAATCTAATTGTTTTAGGTTTTGGAAGCGTACTTTATTGAAGTTTATCACAAACACTAATCGATTCATTTTTGAATTACAAATTTATTGATAAGGTCTTAGTAACACTGTTTCTCCTTTAATGTAACATTAAACACTCATTTTGATATTATAAAATATTTATACAATTCCTAAAAGGCTATTTAAGGTTAGATGTTAGCTTTACGGACAAAAAATTTTGTACATTCTGTTACCATACTCTATAATTCATGCTTTTCTAGTTATTGATGTTAACATACCACAATAACAATTAAAATCAATTTCTATATTACTTGATTTGTTCAGAAAATAACTTGCAGTGCCAAAAGTAAAAGCCATTTAAAATGAAAATATTAATTTATGTAATAATGATATATCATAGTTCAATAATCCAATTAGTCTGTTTAACTATTCGAATAATAGATTGAATATTGACTTGTTTGGAGTTTTTTCTGATTCCATTTTCCTGCAAAGCAATAATTAGTATTTTTTAAAGAAGGTTTATTCAGATATTTATCGAAGCCTTACAATGATATTTTATTATTATTATCTTTATTTCTTGCTATTTAAATTTTTGCATGAGGATCTAGAATAGCTAATTCAACAGATTCTTTTTAATTTCCTAAAGTAGAATTTGTTAGATTGGGGGATTTTTAAATATTTTTCTAAACAAATGAAATCTCAAACTCTTTAATAAGTCCCCACAATCTCCAATATGAATGTAGATTCTTCTTTGCTGTTGTATACTATAATAAATATTATAGTAAGTACCCTTTTTAATCTATCTTGCATATTCTTTTGCATTAACAATGATTTATACAAGGAGATTATTTCTAATCCCTTAAAAAACGCTACTGACATTGTTAGAGTATAATCTTTTTTAAAGACATGCTAATCTCTCAGAGATTTCTGTCTGTATGTTCCATCATCAACCATATATTAGACTAAGTTGATAAAGTGATCCATTTTCTCTTTAAATGAGTCCAGTTTAGAAGTATAACTAATAGAATGTGATTGATCAGTCTTTTAAAATAAGATCACTACCATTTTATCAAAAAATTATCTGATTTAAACCAAATGAAATAATTGATCTACTTTCATCAAATCATCATTATGCTTCTAATTAGAAACATTGAGGAAATCCAAGGATGTAAGAAATTTATAGAAATCATCTATGTCATAATGATCTTCTTTTTTTAATAATTCCATATTCTGCAAAGTTATCATCTATATTTTTTGATCAACATTGTCATCAAATTGTAGGGTAGGAGAAAATATTGATATTTTTTTGGTTCTTGATATTTTAGAATTTCGATGATGTAAAGAGTTTGGTTCACTTGTAGCATTAATAGCATTATCATAAGCATCTTCATCAGGTTCAAAATCTAGGTTCGCTAACAAATTGAACCCTGAAGTGGAATAATTGAAATTTGATAAGCAATCTTCATCTAGATTCACTTCTGGAATGTCATCTTCACCAAGTTGTCCATTGAATAAAATTCCTTCACTGCAATCACCGCTGCCTTACTTAACTGATTTTTTTACGTTCAAATTCAATTGGAGGACTATCTAGATAAGGACCAGGAATGTTATATGCTTTTCTTTTTGGTTGTTTCTCTACTCTTGGAATGTCAATCTCTTCATTGTCAAATGTTTAAGCCATCAAACCATGAAAATTAGAAAAGTCAAACATTAAATAACCATCAAAAGTGTCTTTTAATTCTTCACTCATTGTAAAAAATATAAAATAAATTATTCATTTTTTGATCAGTCATTTACCTAGTAAAGTTTGAATCTCTACTTTCTGATGATTCTAATTAAGAAAAATATCAAATTAAATTACTTTCATTCCATAATTAGTTTCAACTCTTAATTAAGGGGTAGCCGACAATTATCTTCTTAGTTAATTTGGTTTCTCAGTCTAAGGAACACTAAATCTGAATATTCATGACTTTTCCTTAAGATATTGATTTTTTGGCTGATATACAATCTTTTTAAATTTATTTTACAATACTTATACATTCTTCTTTATAAACTTTAGTTTAACTAGGAAAGCTGTATAATTAAAAATTTATTAGATATCAAAGAAAGTAACTCCATAATTTTATATTTTGTAAACTAATTCTTTACTTTTATTAGTACAACACTTTGAGAATTATAAATTATTATCAATTAAACAATTTACAAGAGTTTTTATATAAGTTAAATCGTTGTTCATTTCTCTTAATGAATTCTTATTCTAAGCCTAGATTCTCACTTACTCCACTTCTTCATGAAAAATATCAACTTTAGATTTTGATTGATTTCGTTTTTAGACACTGATGGTTGAATTTAAATTGATCATTTCGATATATTTCTTGATTTATCTGATTAGGATATGAAATATCCTAAAATTATTTGGATACTTAAAAAACTCAATGGCTTTTATTGATTCATCTCGACTTGCCAGATAATTTAGATAAAAGAATAAATTTTTAAAAATTAATGGCATGTATTTTCCAGCAGAAGAAGAACTATCTAATTTTTACTCCATTTCTATATTTCCTCTTAATTATTTCATGATCTCATAGAAGACTATAAAGAAATCGATAGCTTAAACCTTGTGCAGCCTGTTTATTGCAAGCTGATTTTTTAATTCACTCCATTTTAAGCATCTTTTTTTTACATTTATTAATAACTATCTATCTTTATCAAAAGTTTTGAAAAATTTTGTTATCACTCTTCAGTAATTTTGAAACCATTTTTACCACATTTCGTACAATTCACTCATATTCTAAAAGTCTAAATTAAAATTAACTCCCTACTTGGTTTATTTAGTCAAAATTGTAGAAGATTTTCTTACCTTCCCAACCATTGTTTGATTTCTATTGGAATAACAAATATTTCTTTTTGTCATTATCATTATATCTAAAACTTAAAATTAAATAATTAACCTTTTCTTAAAGAACATCTCTAGATTATAATATCAATCTCTTAATTCCAGATAATTTCTAAATTGTTATTCTAAATTTTCATTGGCATTCATCATGTTAGATAAAAATAAGTATTTATTTAGTTTCTTATATAAATAACTTATTCTTATTTAATTGATCTTTAATTTCATTTAGATATAAACTACCATTAAAATATTTGAAGTCTGAATCAGATAATCAATAAGTTTAATAAAAATTATTTATTTGACATGATTTAAGAATAAAAATTAAGTGAATGTTGAGATTAGTATTATTTACAATTTAAATTTATGAATTTCAATACTCTTTTATTGGAAAAAGATAATGATCTTCGTATTTTAGCATTAAAAGAAATGTTAAACTAAGTGGATCAACACTGGTCAGAGATATCTGAATTACTTAGTTAGATGTAAATCAAAAATTTATATTTCTTATAGAGAAGCATTAAGCGAAGATCCAAAATTTCCTGAAAGACAATTAGCGTCTTATTTATGTGCCAAGATTCAATACCATTTAGATAACTTTGACGAATCTCTTAATTATGCTTTACAGAGTGGACAATATTGGTAATCAGATTTGAATGATAAATTTAATCAATGTTTAATAAAACATTGTATTGAGCAATATCGTTAATCAGGAAAAGCTTCTGAAGAAAGAATAAGATTAATCAAACATATTTTAGAATTGTCATGTGGATAAAATAATCACATATCTGCCATAGGAGTAGCAGTTGAATGCAAGAGGATTGATTGGGTAGCTGAGATTCTTAACAAATGGAATTATCCTGGTAAAATGATATCTGTTCTTCATCTTTTCAATACATAAAGAGGAGAATTCAAAGAATAATTGTTAAGACTCTCAGTTGATCTAATATATGAAGAGGCAAAACATGGTCAAATTCCAAATGAAGAATGGGGTTAATTTGTCACAGTCTTAATTCAATTAGGAGAGGCTATAAAAGTTGCTGAAATCCTTTGGACTTTAGTAACTAATGAAAATCATTATAAATTATAAACTGGTACTCCATTACTATTAGCTGAACAATTATGCATAGATTTAGCATAAAATTAAAAACCTCAATTTATTCAAAAGATTATAGCTGCATTGCCTATTGATCAATAATTCCAAGAAGTTAGAGACAAATTAATAAAATTGTTATCAGGAGAATAACAAAGGAAAGCATATTTATACTTTTTGAAGAATCACAGATAAGTTGATGTTGAAGTCTTAAATAAAATTAAAGGCCCGAATGATCCAAAACAATCAAGTGTTTTGCATGGTGCATGCATGTTTGGTCATGCTTTAGCTACTGCAGGCACATAAGATACATCATTCTTATAGGCAAATTAATAATGGGCAACAAAATGTAATTATTGGTAGAGATTTACTGCTACATCTACTTTGGGAATGATTCACAAATACAATATAGAAGAATCCTAATAAATTATGGCAACTCATTTATCTTAGACTAATCCATTTGAAATTGGAGGAGCTCTTTATGGATTAGGACTTATTCATTTTGGAACTCAAGATTAATAACTTTTGCTCAAATTATCAGATCACATGAAATCTCAAAAAGAGCAAATAATTCATGGTGCATGTTTAGGATCAGGATTAGTAGCATTTGCTTCTGAAGATGAAAAATTGAATTAAGATTATCATAATCTGGTTTCAAAAAATGAATCAATTTATGGAGAAGGTGCCAGTATTGGTTATGGTTTATTAAATGCTGGATCTGGATCTATTGAATAATGCAAACGTTTATTGGTGTTAGCTAGTTAATCAGACAAAGACAAGATCGTTAGAACTTTGTCATTATCAATTGCTTGTATACTCTTTCATTAAGAGGATAAGGCTGATGTGATTATTGATCAAATGTTACAATCAAATGATCCATTAATAAGATATGGTGGCTGCTTCACTTTAGCCTTTGCATATGTAGGCACAGGAAGCAATAAGATTATTTAAAAGTTGCTGTCCATATCAGTTAATGATGTATCTGAAGATGTCAGAAGAGCAGCTGTCATATCCTTTGGTTTCTTGATGTTTAAGAATTATGAAGCTTTGCCAAAAATTATGAGGTTATTGACATTGTCATATAATCCACATATCAGATACGCAACGGCTATTGCTTTAGGTATTGCATGTGCTGGAACCCTTTATGCAGATGCCATTTCTGCGATTGAACCAATGTTAACCGATACTGTAGATTTTGTTAGACAAGGTGCTTTGATAGCTTTAGGAATGATTCTCTCTTAAGGAAACAAAGAGTAGGAACCTAAATTCGAGCCAATCATGAAATCTATTAATGAAATAGCTGCAAAAAAACATGAGACTGTTTTAACAAAGTTGGGATTAGCCATTTTTTAAGGATTATTAGATTGTGGAGGTAGAAATTTGACTGTTTCATTATAAAGCAGATAAGGAGTACCAAAGCTAAATGCGTGTGTTGGTATGTTATGGTTTTTGAACTATTGGTACTGGTATCCTTGTTTAAGTATGATATCTATTGCTTTATAACCAGTTTCATTTATTGGTTTAAATGAAAAGTATAATAAATATATTTATAAAATTTTAGCCTTGATATTCCTAAAGACTTTCAATTATAATGTAATACCAAACAATCAGTTTTTGATTATCCTCCTCCTTAAAAAAAATCTGAAAAACCTATTGCTGAAAAAAAAACTGTTCAATTAAGTACAACTTAAAAAGTGAGAGCCAGAACTAATAAGAAGGATTTAGAAAAGAAGCAAATTGATTCTGCTTCATAAGGTGTCATTTCAAGAGAATAATCAAAAATGAGTTTAGAGTAATAACCAAGTGAAATCATCAAATAGCCAAGCCTTATAGAGGAACAAGAGAAGAAATAGGCAGCACCAAAAGATGAACCAAATTAATATATTTTAACAAATCCATGCAGAATTTTAGATAAATAAAAAAAACATATCTAATTGTTAGAAGGTAGTCGTTTTTAGCCACTTCTCAAAGTATTAATTTGATAAATCATAATAGGATCGTAAATAAGGTTTGGTTATGTTAATTGATAGTGAACCTTCATAAACTTCTGAGGTGATTTCTCTCACTGTTAAACCAAAATAACCTATAATTGAACAAGTTGTAAATTAATAACCTGCTCCACCTAATTAAGTGCCAGAAGAATTTGTGTTTGATGAAGCTCTTTAGAATGAAGAACAAAAGCCATGAGAAGAACATAATATATATATATATAAATATAAAGAAAATTATATATATCAATCGCTTTAAGGATATTAATAATTGATAATGTACATATTCTATTTTTATAATTTGCTTACAATATTAGTCATCTCATAATTTAATTTTATGTTATTTATTTGATTAAAATCAATATATAATGAATTATTTGCATTTATATTCAAAAAAAGTTGTACCAAATGATAATAATAATTGATACCAAAATTAAGGCAACCATTGAGTAAGTAAGTATTTTTCGATAAATGGCTCGATTCTTCATACGATTAATTAAAGATTCAGATGTTCCTATATCATGAGTTGCCTCATTAGTTTTTTTTATCATGCCATCAAGTTTATGAGTCTAATTCTATAACTAAAATTAAATGTGTGTTGCATGTCCTTCAGCTTCATAGGCAATTTTAGTATATTCAATAAGTTTTTCATTTTATTCAATCGCCATAGCTAATGTTGGAGAAGTGTGTTGAACATATTAAGTATATGACTATTTAATTTATTGAAATTCACTCTTGTATTAAGTGAGTTTGGTAAATTAGGGACCACTACGATTACCAATTGACAATTGCATTCCATCTAATGATCTTTTCAAATTATTGAATTCTTCAATTGCTTCTCTATAATCTTATTGTGTAGCAGTTGGAGCTTGATGAAATTTAGATAATAGGGCTTTTGAGTATTTTAAAAATTCTTCTTCATATAGATTAAATTCTTCATTCATTTTGTTTTTTAACTACTTGAGTATTTTAAAAATATTATTATACTCAAAAAAAGAGAGATTAAATAATATTTTGTAAATGATTATTGAATTACTCATTAACAACAATAACATTAAATTATAAATCATTCTGTTTCCATTTTGTTATTATTATTGGCCTCGTTTTATTATGGTTATTATTAAGGTTAAGGTTCCTCAACCTTCTTATCCTCTTAAGGTGGTTCAGGTTTAGGCTTTAGTACAACTGGTTAACATTTCTTAATTGTTATTAAAAAATAATTACATCTTTGAATTCATTGAATTTAGCTTGCACTTATTACACTGAAGTTGTGAATTTGACTGTTTTATCTGCTTTGCTTAAAGCATCCAAAACTTAATTGCACCATAATTTGAAAATATTTACTTCATTTGCAACTACTTATCTTTCCTCAGGTGTAATATGAGCATATTGTTATTCCTATAAAAATTGATAATTATAATTACTTATGAAGTAACAAAGGCTTCATAATTTGAAGTATATTGTAATGCTTATTAAATAGTTTCAGGAACCAATCTGAACTCATCAGCAATTGTGACTATTGGACCACACAATTATACAAGTTTATCATATCTATCGGAATACTCCCTTTTTGTAGTCTTTTGGCCATCACCATAAAGCCATTCATATTAAACATCTAATTCCTTAAGAATTTAAGCTTTGAGATCAGGTCGAACATTTTAGGCATATTTGCCATTAACATTCTCTCTCCAAGCATAAATATAAGCTTCCAATTGATTTTTCTTGAAATGTGTTTCATGAACCAATTTATCTTGGTTTTACATCTCGCATTCTTATTAGAATAAATGATCAATATCCTTTTTAGACAAACTATTCAAAGAAGTAGTTTCACAATTGATTTAAGTTTAAATAGTTTTCTTTTTTTATTTGATTTCAAATTATGGTTCTTCTTGCTTTGGTTATTCTTATTATGGAGCTTCTTGAGCTGGTTTTTGTGTTTCAGCAGCTTATGGCTGTTATTATTAGGCATCAGCTGCTGGTTTAGGTTGCTCTGCTGGTTTAGGTGGTTCTGCTGGTTTTGGTTTTTCAATCTAATAAATTAATTATATTTAAATACAGGCACTTTCACTTCTTCCATGAACTCTTCTTACAATACAATTTCTTCTAATTAAAGCAATCCATTGTGATTCAATAAAATTTTGATTTTTGTTGAATGTTCTTGATGTTTAGGGTTTTATGGAGGCACACGAATTTATTCTAAAATAGATTATAAATAATAAATACATAAAATAGCTTAGAAACCTTCAGGTACAGGATCATAAAATAGTGTAATTTCAATTGGTTCAGTTTTTAAGAGTGCAAAACTCTTGATTGATGGAATTGCATTATTTTAATCGAAAAGGACCTTGCATTATTTTTCAGGGAAACATCTAACCAATCCTTAACTTTAGTCTTATTAACTTAATTATTGTCCGTAGAGCCAACCTACTCTAATTGGATAATAGTTGCAATCTTCAATTTTGTATTCAGTGACTTTGAAATTTGGACTCTTCATAGCTGCCATCATTGCACAACCTCTAGAAATTGATTCACTTGCATTCAATGTTCTAGATACTTATTCAACTTTGAAGATTTTTTCAATTAATCTTTACACAGCTGGAATTCTAGTTGCTCCTCCTACTATTTCAACAGAATGTAATTGCAATTTCAAATTCTAAACTTAGCTGAATAAAAATTCTAATTGTTATTGAATCTAATTCAACACAGGTTAGATCATTTATTCAAAATCTTCTCTTTTAATTAAAGTATTAAAGTCTTCATCTTCTACTAAATATTCTACATTAATTGGAGCCTCTGAATTGGCAGACAAGACCTTTCTAGCTTTTTCAATAGATTCCAATAATCTTAATTTTCCTTTAAGATTTTTTCTAACATTTAAACCACCTGTTTATTATTCAAATTGAGTGGCAAATTTTTCAAATAAAAACCAATCAATATCTCTAGCACCTAAATTTCTCTCATTCACTTAAGCAACAACCTAAGCCTTTTCCTTATAGAATGAACCTACAAATGCTGAGAATTTTGAATGTCCGAAATCAACAAATGCTACATGTCTTGGTTTATCAGCATCCAAATCTGCTTTTCTAAATAAACCATAATTGATTGCAATTGCTGTAGTTTCGTTAAGTAATCTTTCTAATGGAATTTCAGCTATCTTACAAGCATCAATCAATGCCTTTCTCTCTGATTCAGTGTAATAAGCAGGCACACTGATACAAACATTACTTGCTTGTACATTTATGTCATTATGAACTACAACATGCTTTAATTTGTTTAACATAGAACCTGTCAATTACTCAGGAGTGAATGTTGTCTTCTAACCTAGATAATTGACTTCAAATAAAGTTTTTCCAGAATCATTAATAGATGTAGGAACAGTCAACCATTTTGTCTCTTCTGCTCTAAATGAAGGTTCACCATGTAATCCTAAGAATCTATTGAAAAAAGCAACAGAATTTTTAAAATTTGACTTTTGTTGTAAGGCTCCTTGTTCTCCAATGAATCTTTCTTCGACTGTGAATCCTATCACATTTTATGTTTCTCTATGTGATCCTTCATTGTCTAGAATCTTCACACCACCTTTTAGTGCTGCAGCGATCACAGATCTCTAACTACCAAAGTCAATACCAATAGAAGCAAATTAAGACATTAATTAGTTTAAATTTTTCGAGAATCAGCCACTTATAAAACATCCATAAATTTGCTAGAAAGTTCTATAATTAATAATAAATTAACGTATTTATCTGAACAACATCACATTCAAGTTAAAGAGAATATGTTCTATTTAACAGATATTTATAGAAATTATCCAAAATTATAAGAGTGTTAAGAAAAATAGAAAAAAAAATATTTTTATTTATGTATTCTATAAATTATATTGCTATTTCAATATTAATAACCCTTTATTAATTAAATATATATATACATTTAGAATATTAAATAATAAATTGTAGAATTATTTAATATATATTAAATATAGATAGTTGGAATAGTAACTAAATTCAATTCATTTTTTTGTTTTTAAAATGCTTTTCTTTAATTGAGGGGGTTAATGTTTAGGTAAAGAAATCTTACCAGCTGATATTTTTGGAGGCGCGTATATTTTTCCAACTGAAACACTTTTTTATCTAATGTTGCTTGTAGTATTTTCTTTGTTTTTATACTATAAGACCTTGCTAAATTTAGACTCCATTTCATTAAATTTTTTCTCCATCATTTTAAAGGAATTTACTACCATTTCGCTGAATTCTAAGAGTGATCCATCAAATGAATACCCAGATATCGATCTTGCTGCGATTTCTCTTGCAATGTATTTGCTTTCACCTCCATTTCTTTCACTTCCCTGGCCAAATCTTCTTATTTTCCTAAATCAAAATCCTCATCAAACATGTTAACTGAAAATATAAAATTTTTAATAAAATAATATCAATTACACAGTGAAATAATCTTACTTAAACCTTCTTCAAAATTGGCAAATAATTCAATATAAGTTCCATCTCTGGCTTCATCTGTTAATCGATAGAATGTATTTCTTTGATTCATAAACTTCTTTTCTTATGTACTACACAATATGAAATGCCAAAATCCTTCTCTCAATTTTTCCAACAATTCAACTAATTTATCATTTTATTCAGCATAATTTTCTCCAAACGTCATAACAATTAAATAATTAGTATATTTTTTTGGAAGTTATTAATTTAAAGATTCCAAAATTCCTTAATATAATTTGCGTTAATTTTATGTTTATCTCCCACTTAAATAATCAAAAAATCCATCTTCCATATAATTTTTACCCATAGTTTCTAGTATACTAATTTTTGATTAAGATTCAATTAATACATGTGTATATTCATCAAAAGTTGATACTTATATCAAATCATCATCATTCATAATTTAAAATATCTAATTATAATTATTTAAACTAATACTTATTTAATAGTTTCTACAACTTCAAGTTGGTTTTCAGCCATTCTTTATGTAGAGTCAATTAGAAATATAAATTATCGTTTTTAATTTTAAAAAAAGTATTGAAGTTATTTTAAAATTTAACTATCAGATTTGAATTTGTCTTATTTTGCAAGTAATGTTGATAACATTTTAATAGTCTTTACTCTTAATTTAGTTTAATAAACATTTCCATAATCTAGAGCTAACATTAATTATTATATTGCAGGTTATAATTAACCACTTGACATATAAATTAATCCCCTATAAAAATAAATTTTCTGTTGAACAACTTACAACAACTTTTTGTCTTAATTAAATGTTTTATTTTAATAAGATGCATTTTTACTTAAGGTGTAGTTTTATTACAAAATTAATTAAGCTTAATCAATGCATTATTCAGCTTCTTTTATTTTCCTAAGATTAAATAGTAATTTGCATTTTTTAAAGAATAATTTAATTTGTAAAGTAAATTTAATCTCTAATGTATCTGCAAAATCCATAATGTTTGAAAATAATGTTTTTGCTTAATTAAATGCATTTCTATCTCGACTCTTATTCCTAATTAATAATTTTGATAATAAATCTAATAATTGATTTAAAGATTGAAATAATTTATAATTTATTCTCATTATTTCTTCTGATTTAATTAATTATGTGTCTTTCTTTTATTATTCAAGTATAGAAATTAATTACTTATTATATGTGATAGCAGTCTCATAATCTTTTTATCTACTATGTTCTGATACTAATTTCATCAATATTAATTCCAAACATTCAATAGAGTTTCGTTTTTAAAAAATTTGTAATCCTTATTCTAATTTTTCTAAATCATGAACCTTTTTATTTAATTGATTTAAGAAATCAATCAACCAACAAAATTCATCAAAAATTTAAAGTAATTCATTTAATTCAGTTAAACTACTTTTTTGATATTCTTTAAATGCATTTAAGTCTTTATGCAAAGTATCATAATCTAATTCAAAAAACATTTACATCATCATTGATACTTAATTTAATGTTATGCTTATTTAATCAAATTCATTTTGAGTTATTATATTTACTAATATAGAAGTCAATAACAAAAAGAGAATAAAAACTTAGAAAAAAAGAAAGAAATCAAAATAATCTTCTTATTTTGTTTCTACTAGATTTTTGTATAACTAATTGTTGAAAGTGGCTAATAATTACCATCTATCATAATTTTATTGAAGAGCATTTAGTTTATCTTATTCTTCTTTAGTTTAATTTATTAAGTCTTCTTTGTATTCTGAATAAAATTCATCATTCTAATAGAAATCAATAAATTATTACGATATCATATGTACCAATGTGTATGGATTAATAAAAATAGACCTTAATATCCACCATTGATAAACTAACAATTGGATTTGATGATTCATAATAACGAGTTAAAGGCCGCATTTAATTCATCCAATCAGCTTTATCTATACTCTCTAAAAACTCAACAATGTTTTAAGTGTTCTAGTAATCTATATCCATATTATTAAACTCAGTAATTGCACTACATTTCATTTCAACAGTTAGACAGTCATCAGTTACATCTGAAACTACTGAATTATTTATTGTAAACAATGTAGTATACAAAATCCCTTCTGGTTATTTATAATCAGCTAAATCTAATATAAAACATTAATATAATGAATCATTAGATAATAGACCACAAATTTAAGTCAATTAAATGTTGAAGGGAAACAAAGTATAAAATATAACTTAATCTTTCTTCTAATTTTTCATATACAAAAAGAGATCAAAATTACCCTTATCATCATAAGAATTATGCAATAATTAACAGAATTTTGGATTATTAGTGCAGTTTGGAGTTGATTTAAAATTATACAAATTTAAAGTGTTATTTGAAGCACTTAAGCTGTCTGAAGTAAGTTATATCACATAATAAGGAAGATTTGGAATATATATTGAAGTAATTTCTTCTATTTATGCAATTTAAGACCTTTCTTTAACTGTAAGAGTGCCTATAACAGTATTTAAAGTTGAATTTTGTTGGGAAATCTCTTTTTCATTAAGGGCCAACTTAGTAATGTTGAACAAAAATCCAATTGAGGAAATTGTTTATTAAAGATCAATACCTGTTAATGTGATATTAGCCTTCATTATTTCAATAATAGTCTCATTATTACTTGATATCTGAGCTAGGAATGAATGAAATATATTTACAATTAATCCAATACATTACAAGAACAAATAAAACGCTTAAACTTATAGTTGTTTCAATCAGATCAGCTAAGAATATTGTTTATGTGACGATTAGTTTAAAATGATGTTAAATGTTTGTCATTCTAAATAAAAATGAAATAAAATCGAAAAATATAAATATATAAATGTTTAATGAAACTAAAGATTCACAAAAATACATCATGAGGTGCTTGAGTAGGTGCTTTAGCTTAGCACCTTCTACTACAAGAATTAGCTATTTTTCTAATAAATTAATATTTAATATAAAGATATTTCCACTATTAAATGGTATTAATAACTAATTAAGTAAATAATGCAGTTAAAACATTTGATACAACTACCCATCCAATTATCAATTTTTAATCTGCATTCAAAAATTTCAAAAGATCATTAATGCAAAATATAGTGAATAATAATAAAGTTATAAATTATGAAGTTTCACAACTTATCTATTTAATTAATTCTAATTTATCTTTGATAGGTGAATAGAATATCAAAAAGAAAAGGGTTACTAGACTTAATAAAGTAACTTATAACACTTAAATTATAGGATATTCATAGAGATAAATTAAAAATGTCATAAAAAGAAATTTCTTAATCAATAAAAATGGATTGTACAATTTTTAATATTTTGCTATTTAAAGTCCTGAAAAGACAGATCCAAATTTAATATTATATTATGCCTATTCAATAGCATATCTTTTTTGATCTACAATCTTGAAAGATAGAAATGTGATGCAAATATAAATACCCAAAAATGCAAATGTAGTTGTTGAATTAATTAATCCAAATGTAGAATTAAAGTCAAGTCCTTTTAAACCTAATGCTAGTGTGAAACTATATTCATTTGCAGTAGTCATAAATATTCTTAACAAATCACTATAAAAGAATTCCCTTATTGTAATTAATGCCCATTAGAAAGCAAGATGTTTTAATTTTACTTAAAGTTTAGAAAAATACATTCTGATAGATGATTTATTATCACTTTGGAACAATAATTATTTTTTGGAGGACAAGTATTTGATTGTTATTAAATTAGCTACTAAATAAAATACAAGGCTTATTATAAACACAGAAAAAATAGATGTAAAATTAAGAATGAAACATGAATACATTCCTTGTTTCTTAATTTTGAATGGAACAGTAAGAGAATGAAATTCCAAATCATACTCTAAATCATATTAAAATATTTGATCTAGATTAATAAAATCTTAAACTATTGTGAATTAAGCAAAATTTAGATTTTCAAAAAATGAATTAACATTAAATGGAAATATAGTATTAATGTAATATAAGTAGGATAAGTATTAAAGTGTATCAATAAGGTTAAAATAAATGTCAATACCTCCTAATATCAAACCACAAGCTAATAAAGCTAATAGACTATAGATTATGTAATTAGAACTATTAACAGTATTAGTTGTCAATCCTTAAACTGATTACGAAATAATTACAATATCAGATATTTTAATTTCTAATAAATTAATTTCTTAAGTCTGATTTTAAGCATTTCTAAATAACGAAGGTGTTAAATATTTAATTATTAAACTAGCATTTGATATAGATCTATCAACATCAAAATCAATTGTAAATGAAAAGTTGATTAGATTATCTATTTCAAAATTAACATTATTTTTAATTGAGTAATTAAAGTTAGCTTATTGATTAAGTGATATTTGTATTTCATCATTAATATCAAATATTTAGTTCAACTTCAATTCTTAGTCATAAGTTACTAATACTTATCTCTTTGGAGTATATAAATCATATATCTAATTTTCTTATCCTTAAGGAATTGGATTCTTTGTTTTAATACAAACTCCATTTATACAATCGAAACTCTTTTCTAATTAACATATATCACTGCATCCATCTCCATTTATTCTATTTCCATCATCACATTATTCAACATCAGCCAGAATTGCATCTCCACATTTAGAATAACATGAGTTATTATCATAATCTGAATAATATCCTTATTTGAATTCACATAATTAACAATTAATATTTGATTTACTTATATTCAGAAATCTACATTTAGTACATTAACTAGCATTTGATTCACAATGTAAACATTTGTCTTAACATTTATTAATACGAATAGAATTTTCGATATAATATCCATCAATTGCTTATTTACATTTTTGTATTTTATAAAAGTAATCATACTCACATATTTAACAATATTCTTAACACTTTTCACATTAAGATTACTTTTCAATTTCATTAATACAATAGTATTAGGGTTCTTTTAGACAATTAAAACAACCATCTCTAGATAAATTATTAGCATCATCGCATTCTTCTCCATAAGACCATATACCATCAGTGCAATCTTTATATTTACAAAATTCAATTGCTATAGCTTCTTTAGATTTACAAGATATACAAAGTTGATTTTCATTTAAGAAATGATCAGATTTACAAATACACTTATTATTACTTAAAGTTCTATTTAATTCTGAATTGCATGAAGTACACATTTATTTTTATGTTTAACAAGTTTTACAAGTTAATTCACATTGTAAACATAGTGATTGATTGACATCAAAATAATATCCATCCATACAAATACATTACTAATTTGAGAATCTTACTAACGGATTTTCAATACATTCAGAACATATTGTTTTGGATAAGCATTTGGAACATAGTTTATCACATTCATTGCATTTATTATTTATTTCATAAAATCCATCAGGACAATAACAAGTATTAGTATCCTCATTTAATTCATAATTTTCATTACATGAAGTACATTTATTACTTACATCAGCGCATGTAAAGCAATTATTGGAACATATTTCACATTAATAAGGATTATTTGGTGAACTTAAATATCCAATTCGGCAAATACATTCATTTTCATCATTTACCATAAGAGATTCATCATTACATGAAGTACATTTGTTTGCTTCATTTTCACATGTTAAACAAGGTGCAACACATTATTCGCATGAGCTAGAGTTCCAATAATATCCTGTGGTACAACTACATACTCCATTAATTGGATTTGGTGACATATTTGAAACACCACTCTTACATGTAGCACAATAGTTATATAAATTTAAACATGATCCACATATTGAAATGCATTATTTGCATTGTTTACCATCTGAATAGTATGAGTTATTGCATAAACACTTTGAATTTGGTGAATCATAAGTTGCATTATCTACACATACATCACATGTAGTTGGAATGTTGTCACATTATTTACAAAGTGGTAATGTGCATGATTAAATACATTAATCATTACTTAACTTATATCCAGAATCACATTTTTTACATTTAGTTCTACTTTCACATTCAATGCATGGATAGGTACAAAGAAAGCAAGTATAATCTTTTAAATAATACCCATCTACACATTTCTTACATTTCCAATCATCATAATCATCACATTTATTATTGTCACATCCAAATGTGTCAATTGTTTTTTAATATTTTAAACTCCAACCACATCCACATGAAATACAACAATCTTAGTATCGTTTACAGCTCCAACATCCATCCTTTCTGCATGCTTAATAAGTGATTTATACCAGTGCTACAAATATAAACAAAAGTCGAAATATCATAATTTAATTACATCATCTCATTTTTTTAACCTATTATTATTTATATATCATCAATGATGGAAAAACTTTTATTTATTATTATAGGATGATTATCACTTAATTTGGTTAGTTTATGCTTAATTGTTGAAAAAAATATAGTTTAGGAAATATCTGAAACGTTATCTAATATTTCAATAATTATCTCAACTCAAAATACATTCCATTATAAATTTAATTTTATATATTTTCAAATATAATTAATATAATATATTTTTATTGGATATTATTTTAAAACAGATCTTAACAATTTTCTAAATATTTTTTGTAAATCTTTCCTAAACTCTATATGAACCTACTCAACATAAACATAATACCATTTACTACTTCAATAGTATTGTAAGTATTAATAATTGATTCTTAAACTTAAAAAATCATAACAATTTTATAATATAAAAATAATTTTATTAAATTTGAATTATTATTTAATATTTATTAAAATAACTTATCATAATCCTATGTCATCTTTGAAATTCCAAATATTTAATAGATATAAAATTCTGACTAATAGAAAATCTCTAGCCATTTAAATTGAGGCTTCTACTACATTTAAATGAGATCCTTCAACATCCTCCCATTTCACAGGTAATTCTGAGACTGGAACTTTGTATTTTTAAGCAATCATAAATAACTCTACATCAAATGCCCATCTTTCTAAATGTAATACTCTAAATAAAATTGCTGAAGTATTTCTAGTAAATAACTTAAATCCACATTGAGTATCCTTTAGTCTAACACCACATATAGTATTAATGATAAAATTAGAACAATGCATTAAAATGTTTCTATACCATTTTCTTTGAACAACAACATCTTTCACTAAATGATTTCTTGATCCTGCTACTAATCCTAATCCATTTTATGTTATTTTTATTAACTATAATATTTTTGTAATATATATCTACTTCTTTTGATAATTTCTCATATTCATTTAAATCTGTAGCTAAATCTGCATCCATCATTAACTATATTTCACCTACAGCTGCTAACATTCCTAATCTTACTGCTCCTCCTTTTCCTCTATTCCTATTATAAGTAATAATCTTAAAGTTTTAATTGTTTATCTAATACTTCTTGGCTATTTCTAATGTTTTATCTTTGGATGCATCATTTATGATTATTATCTCATATTTATATTCATTAAAGTGCTATTAAATATTGAATATATATTTACTTTAAATGTAGCTTCTAATGTTCTTCCTAATCTATTTTCTTCATTATATGATGGAATAATTATGCTTAATTAAACATCAGATGTATTCTTATATGTGGAATACTTGAATTCTTTTCCATCACATATTACTACTATGCTATCATCCTTTTTAACTGTTTTTTGTTGGTTTTTCCAATTTGTATAAGGTGTAAATAACCACTTAATTCCAATTAATAACCCAACAAAAATAACAAATAGTAATATTTCTAATAACATTATTTTTATTATTGTTGATAGCACAATTTTTAATATAAATCTTTTAATAACATTACGTGTTTATTTATTACATTAAAAATAATCATATCCTCTAAATTAATTATCATTAAAAACTCTTATATCTTAATCTTGTTAATATTCCCAATAAATTGAGACAAAATAATTTGAGATAATTACAATATATATTTTAATTACTTTTAAACATGAAATAATCAGCATTTATAATATAAATTATCTTTACATTTGATTAAATTATCATCAAGTAGTTTAATAAGGTGAGCTTGAACTGCAATCTTTACAAATTTCTTTACATATGGATCATTCACATCTGGATAAACAGCCAATATTACTTCATCAATTGATTATCCATTTATTGCTTAGTAGATTTATTATTCTCTATTCTTTCTGTGATTAATTTACTTAGAAATTGCTTCTTGTGCTCCTTCAACTATTGAGTATCCATGACCTGGATATATAGTTTTACTATGAATTGTGATATATATATATAATACATCTTCATTTTTTCTACTTTTTTTCCATATTTTCTAAATACTATTTAACATTTTCTATGAAACAAGAAGAACCTCCCAATAAACAATCACCTGAAAACCATTCTTAATTTTAGGTTATAAAACTAAAATGATCAACACAATGTCCAGATTATGAGATAGCTGTGATGATGCAATTTTCTACTTAGAAAATTTATCCATCCTAAAGTGGAAGCATAGGATATAGTTTATCATTTTCCAAATTATGATCTAAATTTTTATATACTTTAGCATTTGGACATAATTCAATTACTTAAGGTATTCCTCCCATATGATCTAAATGATGATGAGTAATAAGAACAATTGAAATTTCACATTACTCTTAATCTAAAATTTATTTCAAGTGTATTTTGTATTATTCTTTACCTTCACCTGTGTCGATTAAGATTCTTTTATTGCCTGTTCCAATTAAGTATGTATTGGTTCCTTGTAGTGTTAATTACCCTGGATTATAGCCCGGTATTAAAATCATAAATAAAAATAATGACAGACACCATTCTGGGAGGTGAGATTAGTGAATTTGTGGCTAATCGTCAATATGCCAAGATTCAATATTTACAAGAGGAGAATAAATAATTGTAAGAATAATTGAAGGATATGGAAAAAGCATTAAAATTGAATAAAGAAGTTCTTCGTTTAACACTTGAACAAAAGTAAAAATACTTATATATTATATAAGTCTAAACAATTCCAATAATTCAACTAATTCTAGTGAGTAAATTCAAACTATTCAATTACAAATGAAATTACATGAAGAGAATGAAATGCTTAGAAATTAAATGTCTAAATTGACTGATGAAAGAAATATAGCTTAAAATAAAGTATCTATTTCAATTAAAAATCAAGGTTTTGTTGTCTTAACAAATATCTGAAGAAAATTAAGCATTTTATAAAGATCTAATTGTTGAATTGGAAGAAAAATTAGGAGAATTAAGAAGATGCATATAAGATAAAGAATATACTATATAAGATATTGAGAAAAATAGAGGTTTGAATGATAATGGATAAATGGTAAAGATTAGAGAAATAGTAACACCACATGAATAATCTTTAAGATTACATGAAGAATTAGAATCCACTAGATAGATATTAAATAAACTATCTTAAGAATCATAGCATTTACAAGAATAAAACAAATTACTTAAAGACATAAATCAAGTATATTTTAAACATTTATTTTTAGAATTTCAAAAGAGAGTTAATTAAACTTAGAATTATATTGAGAAGTCCTTTGGCATATTACAAAATGAAAAGTAAGTATTAATCTATAATTATAAGATTTCATTTATAATGATGATCCAGGTGATTCTGCTGATAATTTATAATTACATGAAGAAATATTTCAGAATCAACCCTTTAATCAACCTTCAAATGAACCCCCTCCTTAAAACTAATTTCGTTGTGTTTGTTAATAATAATTAACAAATACAATGAAATATTTGACTAATAATGAAAGGTACTTAAATAGATCTTTAAGTTTAGAGCAAATTATTAAGAAAAAATATAGAAAACAGAGACTTTATTAAAAGGATTTAAGGAGTTATTTGAAAAGGAAAAAAACAAAGTAGCTTTGTTAGTATAATTAACAGATAGTTTGGAAAAGAAAATAAATGAATGTTATAATTAAAATGAATAGATAATTAAGGGAATTAATAGTAGAGATTAAAAAATAGAATAATTACAAGCTGAAGTTCAATATTATAGAACTTAATATGGTAATTACATTCATTTTCTTAAAAATAAAAGAAAGATTAATTTAAATTTATCATTTTAATTGAAAGAACTTTCAACAAATCTATAACCTACACCACCCCCAATACAAAATACAAATAATAAAATATTATCAGATTTTGAAAAGGGTCCTGATGATACTGAATAACATATAAGTATTTTAGAAGATCCAGTTGATGATTAATCACCAGATATTAAAAAGAGTAATAAAATAGATGGTTAATCAAAAGTTAATTAAAAATTAAGCAATATTCTAGAGCATAATTATTCTTAAATGAATTAGTTAGAATGTAAATAGTTGTTGTTAAATACTGCTAAAGATCTCTATCTTAATTATAATTTAAAAATGAATAATTTTATAAAAAAGTAACTTATGGATCCAAAAAAATGTCTTAAAGCTAAACCAATCTGGCATTTAAAATCAAGTAGTGATCCTTTAGATTATTTTACATTACAATATCATAATCTATAGATTTCTGGTAAAAGTGAATTCAAATAGAATGATGATTTAGCAAATTTCTTAAAAAAAAAATAACCAAAAGCAACAAAAGAACATGAAAAGAATAATTGGGATTTCTTAAATGATTTTTCAATGATTTAAGGGGAAAAAAATAAATAAATTTTATCTGAAAATTATGGATTCAATGAAATGGTTTTAAATTGATAAATTAAAATGAATGATGATAATTAATTATTATTAAATATCATAATGTATAATTATTTATTAAAACTTCTTAATCTAATTTATAAATTTTAATTATAATAAAAAATATATCTTTAATTACTAATTTTAATTCTTATAATTAATTTTCATAATTATCAAGTAATAATATTTATTTAATATAATATATATCTAAACATTAAAATAATTAATTGATAAATTAAATTACCAAAAATACAAACATTAATGAATTGTAATCAATAATATAATTTTTCAATTGCAGTCTTAGGACTATTATAATTCTAAAATTCTCTTAGCTTAAATGTTTCTTAAAGGACTTTTCTACAATCATATGCAGGAAGAACATCAGATATTAAGAAATCATACAATAACTTTAATTCCTTATCATCTTTATTATCATAATATGGAATTATAGGAATTCCATTCTCAATATGATAGCCAAAACTATATGCAGCATTATCAATCAATACAATATCTTTCATATCTCTACCCAACACTCTAAGATCTTTTATATGTACTCCATCATTTGTTATTATGCAACTTTCTCTAAATAATTAAGCACTTAAGATTTTCTTATGATCTAAAAACTGAATCACTTAAGAAGCATAACACTGATGTGAAGCTGTAAAGATAACTACTTCACAAACTTCTGATAATTGACTCAATATTTATTTAGCCCATGGCCTTATATTGATGCCTGCTGATACTGTATCACCAGTGGGAAATGTAATTGGCAAATATACATCAGATTTTATGTTTTAATTTTCATTACAATGAATGAGAGTTTCATCAAGATCAAAAACAACAGTTTTTTGAACTAAATTGTATCAATAAAGTACATTTTGTATTTTTTTGTTGTAAATTAATGAGTTTCTTTTCTATTACATTATTGGTTGGTTCTATTTAATTTAAGCAGAAACCTATGCTATTGTAAGTTTATAAGGCATGATCTCTATATAATTAACTTTAGGAATCATCTGCTCCATTGATGGCTTCAATCATAGAGCTCACATAATATATATTTTTTAAATTAACATTTAAATTACTTCTTGATGTAGAGAATATTCTATTGTTTGGTGAAAGTGATTTTGCCTATTTAAATGGAGAAATAGTTGAATTATTCTTCGAGGGATTTGATACCTTAATTTGAGTAACAAAATCATCTAAACTTAAATGTATATTAAGTGGTTATTTTTAATCTTAAATTTAATTGTTATTATTCTATGTCTTATTAATGGTTACAACTTTTTCTGTTTTTGGTTTAGATATTAATTTGTTCTGATCTAAAGAAAGTAAATTATATTTTCGATCAGTATTAGATTTTGTGGATATGCCAAATGAATTATCCTTGATCAAGCTATTACTTGCTTTAGTGTAACTTTGCTGTAATGTTTTACTGATAAGCTAGGAAATTTGTACTTTGCTTTATTCTTTCTACTTTGCATAAAAGTAATACTAATATAATTACAAATAAATTACTTATGGTTATGGATTTGCAGATTTAGGTGTATTAGTTCTAACACTTGGATTAATAAAAGCATTATTTTAAGAAACCTATCTAGAAATGGAAGATTTCTTATCTTTAATTAAGGTACTTAAACTCTATGTTTAGTATAATTTGGATAATGTGCTTTTATAAACTTCAGCAGAAGGAATAGGATGTTATTCATATTGTTTTGCGAGTTTAGCTTTTAAACTGGAGCTATCCAACCGAGAAGGAGTAGTTTTATTAATATTAAATTACATTAATATATTATAATATAAGGAAATAATGCAAACAAAATATTGTAATTGTTATAATGTATATATTATTTTTTTCATTTGGTGGTTTCTGCAGCAACTCTTTTAGCTTCTTCAATAACATCTTCAAATGTTCCTTGCATATAGAATGCATTTTCTGGGTATTCATCACCTTCACCATCAAGTAAAGCTAAAATTAATAAAATAATAAAATACCTCTGAATCCAGCAATAGTGTCACTAAGTGATACGAATTTACCCTTTCTTCCTGAGAAAACTTCAGACATGAAGAATGGTTATGAAAGGAATCTTTGTACTTTTCTAGCTCTAGAAACAGTGAGTTTATCGTCTTCAGATAATTCATCCATACCCAAAATGGCAATGATATCTTGGAGTGATTTGTAATCTTACAATAATTTTTAAACTCCTCTTGTAACTGTATAATGTCTATTATAATTTAAATTTAGTAAATTACTTTTCACCAACAATATTTGGGTCCATCATACGAGATGAAGAATCCAATGGATCGACAGCTGGATAAATACCTAATTCTGTTAATGCTCTTGATAACACAGTTGTAGCATCCAAGTGAGCAAATGTTGTGGCAGGTGCTGGATCTGTAAGATCATCTGCAGGTACATAAATAGCTTAGACTGATGTAATTGATCCCTTCTTTGTTGTTGTAATACGTTCTTATAATTAACCTAAATCTGTTGCCAATGTTGGTTGATAACCGACAGCTGATGGAATACGTCCCAATAAGGCTGACACTTCTGAACATGCTTATGTAAATCTGAAAATGTTGTCAATAAAGAGTAACACATCTTTTCCTTCCTCATCTCTGAAATATTCTGCAACTGTTAAACCAGTCAAACCAACTCTGGCTCTAGCACCAGGGGGTTCATTCATTTATCCATAAATAAGAGCACATCTTGATCCACCACTCAAATTGATAACGCCTGATGCAACCATTTCATGATAAAGATCATTTCCTTCTCTTGTTCTTTCCCCTACACCTGCAAATACTGAATAACCACCATGAGCTTTAGCTACATTATTAATCAATTCTTAAATAAGCACTGTTTTTCCTACTCCTGCACCACCGAACAATCCAATCTTTCCTCCTCTTGCATATGGAGCCAATAAATCTACCACCTTGATACCAGTGATCAAAATTTCAGCACCACTACCTTGATCTACAAAACTTGGAGCTTCTCTGTGAATTGGATATCTAATTTTTGTTTCAATTGGACCTCTCTCATCAATTGGATCACCAATCACATTCATAATACGTCCCAAGGTTTCTGGACCAACTGGAATTGTAATTGGACCTCCTAAATCTGAAACTGGTTAACCACGAATCAATCCTTCAGTGGAATCCATAGCAATTGTTCTAACTCTACTATCACCCAAATGTTAAGCCACTTCCAAGATCAATTTATGACTTGTCCCTTAAACTTACAATGCATTCAAGATTGGAGGAAGAGGTCCATCAAACTGAACGTCGACAACAGCACCAATTACTTAAGCAATTTATCCTGTAGTTGTTGTTGCTGTTTTGCCTGTCTCTGCTTGCTTCTTAGCAGCGGAGAATCCTATTAAACTCTTTATCATGAATATCTACCTAGACGCATCTATTTGGCTAATGCCCTTGTGAGCATTTTATTTATTTAAATAATTTTTAGATATTCTCATAAAGGATATTCAAAATTTAAATAAGCGATTTATCAATTAATTACATGATGTCTCTCTCTCATTTCTTCCATTCAACCATTTCCTCCCTTTCTACAATCCTCATTTTATCCAATAATTAATCTAGAATACTTTTTCTTTTTATCAACTCCCCCAAGATTCAATCCTATTTAATAGGCACTCAATTAGCATTATTAATTCTATCCATATATATAATTATCTTTTTAGATAATGAATATATATTCATTATTCATATTTCATTTCACATCTGACTTCAATTTTTTAAGTCCCTCTGTTATAACCTATTGGAAGCCCTTGAAATTGCCGCTGTATTCCTCAAATCCTTTGAAATATTTTGCAAACACATGACTTGACATATATGATAAATAGATACTTTGAAAATTAGAAGAGCTTGGTCTACTTTGATTACCCAAAATTTAATCCTGGTACTACTTAACCATCTCTCACATCCAACTAACATATTAAAGATTTCTACCTCCTATCTGGTACGAGCTGTTGCAAGTGATTAGAGTACATGTTCCTAGAATTCAACATGAGCTTTTTATTCAGCTGCCTCTCTATTAAATTACTATGATAATTAGCTTACCTTAAACATGATATAGCATCATTATAAGATTTAAGAAACACCTTGGCTTCGTAATAGGGTTACTCTGTGAACATAATTTTTAATAAAATAAATCAAATTAGTCTTAAATTAGGCAATCCTACAAATATAAAATTATGTGTATAGATTCTCTTTTTATCAAACTGAACCTCTTTAAGATTAGAAGTATCTTAAACAGGTTCTACCTTACCGCCTTTCTTTATTTCCACCTACTACGGTTTTTTATCAATTATATTTCCATTCTCATCTTAAAACTTTATGATTGGAGCCTAATTTAATAAGTATGTAAATACTTTATATCTTTATAAACATGCAGCTACATAAATATCTTCGGTAAGTTATTTAACCAAATTTTCAAATGCTTTTAAAAATTCAACAATTTAAGGAGACCATTATGTTGTTAAAATTGTACTCACATCAATTAATGTCAAAAATACAGAGATTTTGAAATTTTACTCTAATATGTGAGTTTTTTCACCATCAGGATCTAAAGATGAAAACTTTTCAATCAAACTTTTTTTAGCATTCATTTTATCAAATATTACCCAAAATTTAGATGTGTTAATTTCCGAAAGGTCAATAATTACTTTTGATGATAAAATATTTAATATTCCTGGAGATCCATACCAAAATATAGAAGATCCAGTTTAAGCATACTTTTGTAATTCTCCCAAAGATGCCAATCTACTTTAAGAAAAAGTCTAAATATATATAAGAATGATTTACTCCTTCAAATTTTAATTATGGTGTTGTTTTTTGAATTTCACCTAAAGTTTTTTATAAATTAAAATCATCTAAATTTAAATCTTAATCCTCTGTTTTAAAATCATAAGTAAGATATTTTAATTTATCTTTCTCTATTCCTTTTTAACTATTATTTAATTAAACTTAGAAACCAACACTTTTAAGTCTTCTAACATATAAAGCCATACTAAAATCTCTCGACATTGCAACAATCTTTTCAAATACATTCAATTATTCAATAGGATAATCAAAGAACTTTGGATCTATAAGCAAAACTACAGTATCTATTTTACCAGGTGCTTATTCCAAAGGAGATTCATATAATGCCAATTCATCTTTTCCTGGTTTTCCTTTAGTTTACTTTCCTTAATCTTTCTTAGGAGGAGGTGCTTTTGGATCGATTACAGGTGGAAGTACTTCTTCTTAAATATTGATATTTTCATTAATTAACTAAGGTATAAAACTCATGAATTATTCCACATCCTAACAAAATTTAGTATATTCCTTTTCCATATCATCTTCCAATTTTATAAAATCTTATTATTGAATTATTGGTGTTTTAATTAAATTATTTTTAATTTAATCTAAATTAGCTTTCATTTAATTCATTTAATCATGAGTTTTAGAATCAAGTACAATTCTTTAAACTTTATAAACTGGAGTTTTTATATTATGTAAATACCCTAAGTATAAACATGTTTTATTTTGACTCATTTACATAATTAGAAATCCAGCACTCTATTATAATTAGGCCTAAAGATCTGTCAATGGAAAGATCATAAGATTATCCCATAATTTATTAGCATCAGTTAATAATTTAACAGCATCCTAATTAAGAAATCCACATATTGAATTTATCATTTTTATTAATCTGATATACACTATCATTTTATGCTTACCAAAGAATGATTGTCTAACCATATTAAACATTTATTCACAAAAAGCAAAATGCTATAACTTACACAAATAATCATAAGATATTTCAGGACTTTTTATTCCTAATATATCTAAAGCAGATTCATACAGCATTTTCAAATAAAAGCTCATTTACTTGAATTCAAATATACTCCATTCTAATGGGATGGTTGTGTTATCTCCTTTCGCTTTTAATACAGCAAATGCTTTAGATTCAATGTCTTTAATCAATTTTAATACACTTTATAGAGCATCAGTCTTATAATCAAATTAATTGTCTTCCTATAATAAAACAACTTAATCTTGTCCTTAAAGAGGTGTTTCCCATACATCATCCAATTACTATTTACTTATAGCTAGATATCTTTTTGCTCTTACTAATTCAATTTCAGCTATTGTATACCAAAATGAATCTTTTTTTAATTATTTCAAAGTAGATAATAAAATAGCAGTTGCTTTTTCAAAACTCTCTAATCTTTAAGGAAGAGGTTATATTGCTCTTTATATTTTAATTGTTAATTATGTTAAAAATTTTTAAAGTGGTTCATAATTACTTAATTGTTCAATTGGTTTATCTTCTAATTAATCATTATTATTGTCATCATCAGATCCTTAAAGATCAGGTAATTGCATTTATTTTCGTAACCACTTAATCAATCCCATTTCAATAAAACAAGAGGCCATTACTACACGTATCTTTGCTTATAAATCCATAATTGGTGATCTAATTGATTCTGATTCTTTTTCAATAAGTAATGTATATTTTAATAAGGATCTACTTTATTATTCTAATGGTTTAAGAATGGAATTCTATAATTTTTAGATAATTTTAAAATAGATTTCAACTTAATCAATTTTAGTGTAATTTTTATTTCGAATAAAGATGAGAATTTTGTTTACTAAATTTAAGATTAGATCTATTTAATGTGTCATAAATCCTCCATGTTGTATGCATTTTAATGATTTTTCTAAATTCTCAATAACTTATTTGAATATATCATAAGAAAATTCTTTAAATAAATCTTTTGTTGATATTTTAGATTATAAAATATATAAAGTTGTTAATGTTTGATAAATTTATAATTTATTAGGTGAATAATTAGGTTTATTTAAGACTTCTAATAAGACTTCTGTAATTTATTTTAAAAATTGTCTAATATCATCATATTTCCCTAATTTATATAAAGTCTTATATGTTTCAATTGATGAAATTTCCCATTGACTTACATTTTTAATCAATTTATGAGAGAGCTTGTGATTTTCAATTGAATCTTTAAATTCACCTTCCATAAATGCAATTTATCCTTACAAACATAAAATTCTACCCATTAATTCTAAATCTGAAACAATTTTAGCATGTTTATGAGATTCAACTAATAATTCTTTAGCTCTATATATTTCCCCTTGATAAAATAATTCATTCCCTAAATCAGTTAAAATTGTATAGACAAAGATTTCACTAATAACATTAGCCTAAGGAAGATTTTATTCCATAATATCTGTTGGTCTGGATCTATTTTACTATAAAACACTAGATTCTGTTTTTGCAAGTAATTATTTTTTTTCTTGATCAGTCAATTTAAATTTAACAATATTAGATTATTAATACATTCCATCAGCTTCATTATGAAATCCTACTTAATGTAAACATTTACTAAATCTAACATCAATTAATTTATCTAAATAAGAATTATTTAATATTTCTTTAACAAAAAATTTCTAGAATACAAAAATTGGAACATTATGAATTTATAGTCCATATTTTTCAAAGATACTAATAAGATTGTTTATATAAGTATATGTTAATTAAGCCTTATCAAATAAGTATTTACCCATAAAATTAAAATCTTCATAACTTTTTACTCTTTCTAAGAATTCTTTACTGAATTACAATTTAATCCAATCTTAGATACAATTTGGTAAAAGATATCTAGGTGAGAAATCATCTTATTATTAAGGTTTTGGTTATTATTATTGTTGTTTACTTGTTTTTTCATCTATAATATTAGTGTATTTGGCAGCATTCTCTTCAAATTCATTCATAGTTTAAAAAGAAATTTCAATAATTTTAATTAAGAATACTTTAGCATCTATTGCATATTAAATAGATTATTCCATTGTATCTGAAATCATAGCTAACATAATATGAATTCTCATTAATCTTTCATAATGAGCACAATTCAATCTATTAGGATTAGCTTCCTCTTCTCTTGGTTTGAATATTTTTGATTTTTATTTATTACTTTTAATTGTTGTAGTTCTAACATTTGCTGCTCTTGAAAATCTTTAATTACTTGATTTTTATCCAGATATTTATGACTTTTATTCTTTGCTTTTATTTTACTTAACAGTATTCTTATTAGTTTTTTTAGTCATTTTAGATTTTTGTTTTGATTATTTAGAAACTGTAGACTTTTTACCTCTTGTACTTCTACTAAAAATAGTTGATGAATTCTATTCTTCATCTCCTTCTTCTTCTTCTTCATCTTCTTCCATTTCAATTTCTATTAAAGTATCTGCGGCTTACATTAAATTTTCTATAACCAATTGTTTTTCATTACCATTTCTCAATAACCATTCTGAAAATTCAATTAATACTTCAACTATTTCAACAGAAGAATCTTTCTTTAACAATTCAATAGCTTTATTATATGCTGTATATTATTTATAAAGATTATTTGATACTCTTGCTAATCTAATCCAAACTTTAGCTTATAATGATGAATCTGCTTCTTTCATATTTACAATAGCTTATAATTCATTTTTACCTTATTTACTCATAAAAATCATTTTAGCTTCCCAAATAGGTTTTGACATATTCTTAGGTACTAATTCAAATACCATATCTGCTGCCATTTCACCTAATTTATAATCTTCATTTTCTAAAGCACTTTTAAATAATAATTATGCTAATAGTAATACTAAATCAGGTTCACTTTTTTCTTTACATTCTTTTAAGTAATTTAAACATGAATATACTGGTTTAATTAGATGTTTTCTATTTTATGCACTCTCTTCTAATCTTGCACACAAATTCCAAACTTATTTTGATGCATCCAAAACTAAACTATTAATACCTGCCTTTAATCCTTTATTTGCAGCTTCAATTGCATGAAATAAGCTTGAAAATAACAAAGATTCTTAAGATTCAGTTTCTTATGTTTCTGAATTAAGCATTCTTAATAAATTTTCACTATATATATATTCAGCCAAAGAATACCATCTCAAACGAGAAGTAGGAATAGTTGATAAATCAGCTGTTAATAATTATAAAGAGTATTATACACATCTCAATGAATATTTATACATTAAAATAGTTTCTTCATTTAATGCTAATCTTGCCAATCTAGCCCATAATTCAGCATGTAATTCTAATTCAGTTTCATCATTTTCTTTTGCTGTCCAACTAACAAGTGTTTCAAAACATTTCTTAATAAGATCTTATGTTTGAGCTTTATTGGTTGAATTTTAAATAATTTCTAATTATGAAACAACATCAAAAATAACACTATCAGATGATGATTATTATGGTTATTTAGTACCTTTTTTATCTTATTAAGTTCCAGGTTTAGCAGCATTAGTTTTAGCTGTTCCAGACACTCTTGCTTTAATTGAATTAATCAATTTACGAGTGTGAGGTGATAGTGGAGTCAAAAGAAGAGCTTCACAAACTCTCATAACTTCATCATATTAAGATTTCCCTTCCATTAATCTTGCATACACTAAACCAATATTAGCTAATACTTAAATCTTTGTATCAATATCATAATCATTAATTAATTTTTTTTCAATTTCCTTTAAAGAATTCTTCATAATTTCAAAGAATTCTTTCAATAAATTTGTAATTTCTGGTAACAATTTGCTATCATTAATAGGGTTACGGAATATTGTAAGGAAATTATTCCAAATATATATAGCTCCATTAAATACTAACCAAGTTTATTTGATAGAATCTGCTAATTTTAAACCTTTAACAAAATTAGAGCACATTTTTCTTTTTAAAGATAATACTTAATCTTTTTTTTCTTAACTTAATTCTTCTATATTTTCATTCTCTTCTACTCTAATAGGATCAGCAAATGGTATTTCAAAATTATCTTTAATTAAATTATCTATAATCATTTATGCCATTCTATATTAACATTCTACTTAAGCAAGTATCATTTCAGATGCATTTTTTACATCCCAAGTATCATTACTTACAAATTCACAAGCTTTAAATGCTAAATCATTAAATTCCCATTCAAATGCTAATCTAGCAATTTCAGCTGCTAATAATTTCTTTTATTTAAATTAATATAAATTTTCTTATTTTTTTAATACTTTTTCTCTATTTTATTCCTCTTCAACTAAATCTAATTTAGTATCATACCAATATTCCTATTCTTACAAATTAACAATAGTTCCCAAACATTTCTATAAAATATCTATTCTTAAATTTTCAGATTTAGCTGCTTATACATTCTCTAATTAAGTGATTACTCTTTCAATATCATTTTTAGGTTCTTAATAAATATTTAATTTTAATCTAATCTTTTCCTCTAAATTCCTTAGATATTTATCATAAGGTCTCTAATATAAACCTAAATCTTCACCCTCATCATATTTAAATTGCACTTTCCCTAATGGTACACTATAATCTAATTGTAATGCTTTTTTTATATGTTATTCTGCTTTCACAGCTAAATCCTCTTATAAATCACTTTTTGCTAATTCAATATGGAAATTGACTCTTAATGCATGATCTACACATTATAATTATTCTAAGAGTTGACAAGCCATAGAAAATGCTTTGTATACATGAATTCTATATTAAGCATTTAAAAATGGTAATGATATATTCCAAATCAATACAGCTCCTTCAAAAATAAGATCAGGATCATTTAATTTTTTATTTGTTACCATAACTTTCTCCATAGTTTTTAATGCTTCTATTCTTCTTTCAACTTCTTGCATTTTAATTTATAAAGAATTCAATCTCATTCCTGTCTTATTATCAATTAATGGACCTGCTTTCTTTATGAATAATTCTGCCTTATTATATTCATGTAAAATGTAGGCCTTTTAATGTAGTTATCTAACTCTACTCAAAAATGCAGTAATTGAATCAGCTATATTTACTAAATTATATTGTAGTGCTACTCTTCCTGATTCAGCCAATCTTTCTTAAAATACTGGTGCTAACTTATTAGTAGCTGCTACTTCATTTCCAGGTAATACAGCACTTGAAATAGAATTGATTAGATTTATTAATTCCTTTTCAACTTAGGCTTCAGGAATCAAACCACTTCTCATTTTCTAAAGCATAAATAATGATTTCCAAGCTTTCTCTGATGGAGCAGATTCTGATTCCTTAAATGCTGAATCCAAGGCTTACTTATATTCCTTACCAATATGTATTCTTAATCTTAATAGTGAATTCTAAAAATCACAATCTCCTTTCTTTTTTGTTGTTTCCCATAGTTTATCTAATAATTTAAATGAATCTGCTTTTCTATCATCATACAAACAATAAAATAATAGCCAAGTGAATCTACATCTCCAATCATAATCTGCTTCATCTACTTCTTCAAACATTCTATCTATTTTATCCAAAATATCAACAAATGATAATTACCATTATGGTTTAAGCATGGGTCTAATAATATTATAAACACAAATAGAAGCATTATAAATAAGAAATCCATATTTTTATTTATTTTCTGGTTTAGAAATAATATCTAATCCTTATTATACATATGTTAATGACAATTTTAAATTTTTGATCATTTCTTCTGCTTTTAATAATCTATCATGACCATTCATGGATATAAGTCTAGCTTTAATGAATAAAGCTCTAATGTAAAACTATCCCTAAGAAGAGTTGCGTTAAAAATAAAGATCTATATATTATTGAGCTATGTGTTCTTTATCTGGTACAACAAGACAAGCTTCACAATACTTTATGATAATTTCTTATGAAATATCTAAAAAAGAGGATCTGTTTAATTTACATATTTTCATTACCTAATATTTTTCTTTAGTATTTAGTTGATCTTATCAATACAATCTTATCCCTAACTTAAAAATGTTTCATTATCATCTTTATGATCAATAAAAAAACGAGCTTCTGTAATTAAGTTATCTATAATGTACTCCTCGTTACTCATTTTTAATTTAATATTAATCTTATAATATATATATTAAATCAAGAATAGAGGTTTCTTTTTACTTCTCTCATTTTAATGATGTCTTAAACATTAATTTGTGGTTTAGGAAGTGTAGGATCCTTTTATTTTTTCATTGATGAAGTCTATGATTTACTAGAATATATATATTTTTTTAAATACTTGGAAAAAGTATAAAAGTTATTTAACTAACGAGGTTATTCATCATCATCATAATTTTATGAATTATTTAAAGATTTTTTGGATTAATTAGTATGCATAGGAGATTCTTTTCTGGAATGAACAATATTTTAAATGTTTGAAAAAGCATGACTTGATTATTATTATTCACCTGAAAGTATCTTTTAGAGACTAATTAAATCTTTAGCTACACTTTACAATTTTAATCCATCATTTGGTTAAGACAATGCATCAATTATATTATCAACAGAAGCTAAAAAAAAATAAGAATAATCAAATACATTTTACATAATCCATTAAATTTGAATTTTCATGATTCAATAATAGATTATTTAATTTTTAAATCTCTTAATCTTACTCTTAATTAATTAGAGTTAATTATTCAATCTAAGATTCATAATCCTATAAATTCTCTTTAGTAATATTGTAAGTTTCTTGGCCATCTTGTGTAACACAATCTTTAATTTTACTTTATCTTATTGATTAAATCTATTGAGCATTAGGTAGATTACCACCCATTTAATTAACATATTCTTCTAATTATTAGACTCTTTATATTTTTTAATCTAACATAGTTTCTGTTTCTCTATGAATTCTATCATAAGCATCAAGTTCATCTTATAATTACACTATAGTTTCATCTCTTTCATTTAATCTTGTTGTTAATGCAATCATAATATCTCTTTATTTAAGAGTTAATTATTTATATCTATCAACTTAAACTTTATCTTCTTCTAATTATGATCTTTCCTTTTCTAATTCTGTTATCTTTTTTTCATATTAAGCTCTAATTAATTTCTATTATTCTTCTATAGCATTTCTAAATTATGGACTATTTTCTATATTACATCCACCAATTAACATTTAACTATTAATTTATCTAATCTTTTCTTCTAACTTTTTCTTCTCTTCTCTTTCAATAAAAAACTATTTACTCCTTGCTTCTAGTGCAGCCATAGCAGCATTCTTATCCTATTCTGCTCTTTTCTTATCTTCTTCTAATTGACTTAATTTTGTAGAATCTATTATAGTTTTATTCTTTTCTGAAAGTTCCTTTCTTAACCTTTATAATTCACATTCATATTTTCTTAAAAGTGCTTTTTGATCCACATCTTCATTAATTGTTGCTTTATTTTTAATATTCTTTGCTCTATTTGCAAATTTAACAGAACTTAAAGTTTCAAGAAAAGCATCAATAGCTGGTGATATCATACCCATCATTGTAGTTTTGCAATTACCACCTAAAGAATCTTCTAAAAGACGTGTAATTTTTGAATCTCTATAAGGAATATGTGTTTTTTATTCAATTAATGCAGAAATAACATTACCTAAACAACTCAATGATTAATTGATTTTTTTAGATTCTTCTAATCTTCTACCTGTAGCACCAGTAACTCTTACTCTTTCACTTCCAGCTAAATCTACTAAATTTAGTTTTCCAACTTTTATAGATTTATGATTATCGATTTCTGTCATCTATTCAACTATTATTATAAAAACAGCATGTGATCTACTACTTACATCATTCATCTTAGTACTGGCTGTGGCTCTAGATTAAGCTCCTTTTTATATTAAGGAATAAATTTCTGAAGGATTTCTTACAGCCCATTCAGATAAACCTTCAACAAATACTCCTCTTTTCTTATCTTCTCGGATATGCAAATTTTATCTATCACTTCTTAATAAATCACTTATAACTTCATTATATATTTAGAGATAACTCACACGCACCATAAAGGTTGTAGATTCATTTGATCCATTTGAAATGTGTTTAAAGATTTCCTCAATTGCTCTTGGGATTATACCTCTTTATGGGTCTATACAATTGTATTTGAATCCTTCCATTGTAAATGTCTTTCCTGTTCCAGTCTGACCATATGCCATAATTGTGGCGTTAAAACCTTGGAGTGCAGAGAGTACTGCATGTCTTGCTGTATTATCATATACTTCTTCTTATGTGTTATCTTGATCGTACACATAATCAAATGAGAAGGTGTGCATTGTATAACTATTAGGATTATTGAGGTATTCTTCAAGATGTTCAGGATCAACTAAATCTATGTTATAATATTCGTATAAGCAGATTTTTTTATGATCAGGAGACACTTAAACAGTGGATATAAAACGTCCATCTACGACTTCTCTCTGTAGAGGTGGCCTAACACGAACAACTACTTTAAAATTGTCATTTGATGTTAATTGCTTTGCTGAATATGATGACATAGGACTTGAATCATAAAAGTTAGTTTGTGATGTAGTTTAACTTAATGATGATGTAGACATCTTAGGAAAAGAGGTATTCATGATCGTTAAAATTTAAAATATATTAATTAATAATAATATATAAAAATGAATTTCTTTCATCCACTTCTACAAACTTTGCAATGTAAGAATCAGTATTATAATTTTTAGTCATGCGTTTCAATCTCAGTGCTGATAGACAACAAACTACTCTTAATCTCCTTAATCCACAGATTAAAGTTGAAGAGAACGACCAACTTCTCCCTCCTATATATTAAATGACGTAATAGGAACTATTACAAAGACATATTGTTGATTCTACACCTCAGGGTTTGTAAATGTAGACACTTTCTTAATAGTAAGACTAACCTAAAACTATTAATAAGAAAATGTATGTTGTTTAAATATCTCTTAGAAGCAAAAAAACTAATACTTGTGGACATCCAGACAAAGAACATTATGCCAAAGGAATGTGCAACAATTGTTATCATCGTTTAGGTAGAAACAAACAGCCTTGGTTATGTTCACATAAAAAATTATATGCATGTAATTTTCATCTCAATCTTTTTTAGGTGGACTTTGTTAAAATTGCTATATCAATCAATATAATAAAAAAAGAAGAGTCGAAAACTAAGATTAATAAGAGTCAGAACTCAACAACTAGTCTAGCATACCAAAAACAGACAATTGATTCTTTATTTTTTATCTAATTTGTAATTTTTTTAATATCTTTTCAATTCATTTTTTATATAATTAATCAATAAATAATATTCTTATACATATTAATATTAATTAAAGAATATTATTATAATAACATTATATATATCATTAATTCTATACTTATATATTATTAGTTAAATGTTTAATTTATACTCATTTTTAAGAAACAAAAATATTCCTAAAATATATTCTCATTTACTGAAATAATATTATTATAATATATCAATATTATACTATTGGAATCTTACTATTATTTAAAATACTCTATTATTTTGTTTTTATTAATTCTAATAAAATAAATTTGAAGATTCATTAGATTTTAGGTTGATTATCTCACTAAATTAATTAATTAAATGAGAAATAAAGTTTTATTGTTTTTAACGAATATAAATATTTAAAATAAAAAGATCAACACTTTATGTCTAACAAAAAGAGTATAAAATAAAAAGAAAATATACCTATTGATAGTAGATTAAACCTTTTGGAAAGTAATTATGTTAATTAAATTAAGGTAATTTGAATAGAGTTTGTATGTAACATGATGCTTTGATGCCTATAGTAAATGAAATCCCTCATGTTTAAAAACTAGAATAATAAATTAAAATACTATTAAAAAAACAAGAGGAATTAGAAAAGATAAGAGACAAATCAAGAGAAACATCAACCAACACTAGTTTCAGTGATTTCAAATGTAATAGCTAAAATAAGCCATATGAAAAACAATTGAATGATTTAACATTAAAGATGAATTATTTGGACAATCAATTATAAGATTTATAGAAAAAGAGTCAAGGAAGAGTTGAATAGCAATTTAGAATGTTTTCAGATACATAAGATATTTAAAGATTAGAACAATTTGTTACTGAAGAATTGAATAATTTTAGAAGTGAAGTTCAATTGGAATATAAAAATATATACAAAGTAATTACTTATAAACTAATACCAGGAACTTAATGGATTAAGATGTGATCTTGAATATATTATGAATAATACTAAGAAGAATAAAGTCACCTAAAAGATCCAGACTATGAATGTTAATCCAGATGATAAGCTTTTTGTTATTAATCTATTAGAATAAGAGACAATAATTGAGGAATTAGATCATTATGAGAATGAAAATACATTTAGATTGTTATATGAATTGGATTATTTTGAATAATAAAGGGAATCCATATCAACATTAGATCCATAATAAACTTAAAGAGAAAGTTTATATTTAGAAGAAAAATTAATATCTTTAAAATATTAATTAGCAGCNTTTACTGAAATAATATTATTATAATATATCAATATTATACTATTGGAATCTTACTATTATTTAAAATACTCTATTATTTTGTTTTTATTAATTCTAATAAAATAAATTTGAAGATTCATTAGATTTTAGGTTGATTATCTCACTAAATTAATTAATTAAATGAGAAATAAAGTTTTATTGTTTTTAACGAATATAAATATTTAAAATAAAAAGATCAACACTTTATGTCTAACAAAAAGAGTATAAAATAAAAAGAAAATATACCTATTGATAGTAGATTAAACCTTTTGGAAAGTAATTATGTTAATTAAATTAAGGTAATTTGAATAGAGTTTGTATGTAACATGATGCTTTGATGCCTATAGTAAATGAAATCCCTCATGTTTAAAAACTAGAATAATAAATTAAAATACTATTAAAAAAACAAGAGGAATTAGAAAAGATAAGAGACAAATCAAGAGAAACATCAACCAACACTAGTTTCAGTGATTTCAAATGTAATAGCTAAAATAAGCCATATGAAAAACAATTGAATGATTTAACATTAAAGATGAATTATTTGGACAATCAATTATAAGATTTATAGAAAAAGAGTCAAGGAAGAGTTGAATAGCAATTTAGAATGTTTTCAGATACATAAGATATTTAAAGATTAGAACAATTTGTTACTGAAGAATTGAATAATTTTAGAAGTGAAGTTCAATTGGAATATAAAAATATATACAAAGTAATTACTTATAAACTAATACCAGGAACTTAATGGATTAAGATGTGATCTTGAATATATTATGAATAATACTAAGAAGAATAAAGTCACCTAAAAGATCCAGACTATGAATGTTAATCCAGATGATAAGCTTTTTGTTATTAATCTATTAGAATAAGAGACAATAATTGAGGAATTAGATCATTATGAGAATGAAAATACATTTAGATTGTTATATGAATTGGATTATTTTGAATAATAAAGGGAATCCATATCAACATTAGATCCATAATAAACTTAAAGAGAAAGTTTATATTTAGAAGAAAAATTAATATCTTTAAAATATTAATTAGCAGCTTCAAAGAGAAAATATTTATTTGAGATTAAGAAAATTGAACATAAATTTTAAGTGATTAATGAAATTATTGAATAGAATCAGAAATATCTGAATTATTAATAATAAATCCATATTTTAACTTAGAGAATGAGTAAGATTGTTACAAGAGTCCATCAAAATATAGAATGTATATTTTAAAAGATAAGTACTTTAGACAAGAGATGATAATCATAGTTAATATATATATATATATTAATATCAGATTAATGAATTAACAAGTTCATTTAACACATTAAATTCATTTTCAATGCTTTTTACTCTATTGTTTTGTTCTTCTAAATGTTCAAGAAGTTATTAATTATAATCATTAGGATAATCTCTCAATTATTATTCTAATTCATTAATTAATCGATCTCTTTCATCAATTTATTTTTCAGATTATAATTTATATTCAAGCATCTTTTTATTATTAATATCTAATTCCATTTATACACTTTTTAATTATTATCTTAATTCTTAATCAACAATTGATTAAATATCTTATTCTTAAAATATGTCTGATCCTCTATTTTCCATTTATTTTTATAATGTATCAATTAATTATTATTATCCAGTTACTAATTCAAGCATTTAATTTAATGAATTTATAATAGGCATATCAATTCTTAGATGATTGAATTATAAAACTTATTAATAATATTATGAATTTTTAATTATTTTGATTCTATGAATAGCAATAATTGCCCATGTAGCCTTTTTAAAAGAACGATTACATTTTTTATCAGTATATTCAAATTGCATATCATTAATCTAACAATTTAATGTTTTTAGATGATTTTATTATTATAGAAATTCTTCCAAAAATTAAGTAAGTATCAAAATTATTTATTTTTATTTACGATCTTAATTTTTTATTTTTAAATAAGGTTTATTTTTATCTTATAATCTCTCTTTTTGATAATATCTAAATTATAAAATATTTATATTATACTCTTCTAATTCTAATATTCTTTATTCAAAAAGCATTTTGGTTCTATCATCAATCATATTAGAACATTAATTACTGGAATTGGATTTATTTGTTAACATTTAATTTTATAATTATGTTTATTAGAGATCCTAATAAAATAATATATTATATTACTTTAAGTTATTCTTTAAACATTGATTTCTTTTATTGTAATTCATAGATTTTTTCTGCCATTCTATTAAATATTTCTGCAAATTCAATAACTTATTGCATTTCAAAAGATGAAGGATTAGTAACACTTGTATTTTTGATTTAACTTAAGAGTGTATTTAGATCCTTTTATAAGATACTATAATTTTCTAATTATTATTAAACAGTCTAAGCTTCTCTTTAATCAAGTATAGTATGATTAGCTAACAATTAATCTTCATGTTGACTTTCATTTTAATCAGCAAGATGACTCTTAAAGTTTTGAACAATTTATTCATATTTCATTTGCCAATCTTCATTTTATTCATTTAATATCATGATTTATTATTATAACTATTCATATATTTATTACTTTTCATGATTTGCTTATTCTAATTCTTATTCAAGTTATTATATTTATTCAATTAATTAAGAATTATTTGTAGTTAATTCTTTAACTTTTTATTTTCTTTATTTTGATCTTTCTCTACATTTATTTGCATATTATATTAATTATTCTTTTTCTGATTGATATTTATTATAATTATCTAATTAAGATCTCACTTTGTCTTCATATTCTTTTTGTCCTTTATCTTAATGAGCTATCTTGTCTTATTAAATTTAATATTCATTTAATAATGCTTAATATTACAATTTTAATTAGGTATTTTATTGAGTGAGCTATGAAGATGTAGATATCAATTATTGAATTCTCTTTTCTAAGGAAGATTACTAGAATGTATTTTGCAATAACAATTACTTTTATTTAGAATTCTCTTTCATAAAATTACAATTTGCCTTCCAAGATTTAAACTTAAGATCTCAAATTAACAACTTCACTATCAAATTATTCTCCAATTCTATTAAATTCATTAAGAGAGGCATAACTTTTAGTATGATCAATTTATTTCAATGTAGATTACTAATTAATTGTATTTTTTGGAGTTATCATATTAACTTGATTTAGACGCTTCTCGAATTTATCCATAAAAATAAATAAATTATTTGTATTTAAGTAAATGAAATAGGAATACTAATTGTAAATTTCATAATTTTCTTAAATATAATTCACTATTAGAATATTTATAACTTCAAATTACAACTTCTACATTCAACTATCACATTAGTTTAACTATTTAATTCAATTTGATTTTCTTCTCCACATTATTCACATTCATACTCAACATAATTACATTTCACCGTCATTATATCAAAACAGTATTTAAATTGAGATCTTAATGATTAATTATATTCTTCTCTACAATTCATTAATACTTTGTATGCTTCTATTAAAGATTAAGCTTCTTTAGCATCTCCATTTTTATCTGGATGACAAAATCTAATTTTATTTAGAAATGCTTTCCTTATGTTTTCAGGAGAACATTTATCATCTACCCCTAATAATTCATAATAATTCATTTAATATTAAATCATTTCAGGAATCATTATCATTATCATCATTATCCTTATTCTCTTCTTATTGCACTGGAACTTCTTCCTTAGGAGGTTCTGCCTTTCTTACAATTGTCATATCACCAACATTTCTTAACTAAATAGATATTATTGATATTATAATTACTCTAATTAATTATTTCACTCTTAAAAATGAATTACCTCTAACTTTCAATTCAAATCCCCATGTACAACTATTAACCAATCTTTAAGCAACATTACTAAGATGGTTTATCAATTATGACTCTACAATTTCAAAGGAATCATTCATATCTAATATTAATGGTTCTATAATCATTGAATTAAATTAAGATTTAGTGTAATCCGAAGGTTCTTCAAGTGGTCTTGATGATGGTAAAGCAGAATCAGTAGCATTAGGTTCTGTAGGCATTTTTTTTTATTAAGGAATTTTTGATTTAGTAATTACTATAAATTAAAGATAATAAATTACTCATTTATAATTCTTGATTTGTTAATGTACTATCTTTTTCTTTCTCTTTCTCTTAAATACTAGAAATTATATCTCTATCCCTTTCAAGTGTAAACTCATACATCTCAATAAGAAATTATGAAAGTTTCTCATAAAAAGGTTCAATTTCTTAATTTAACATACCTTTAGTTGCAGCTTAAGTATTTTCTATATACCAACCACCATATTATTTAAATCGTTTAATTAATGTGAAACAACTCATAAATACAGTCTAAGGTGCTTCAGCTAATTCTGGGTCATCAACTTATTTTACAAGTTCTTCTAATTTAAATGCCTTATTTACATTGGTTTATGCAAATGGAATACAATATTTTGCATCATACAAACCAAATCTAGCATTTTATACCCATTCTAAAGCCTTAATATTATTTTATAGATTTGGCAATAATAAACCAAAAACTATTGCAATTATTTCAGAATCTAATTCTTGTAATCTTAATAACAAAGCTTCATCATCAGTTTATTTTATTGGTAATCTAAATTTTTTCCATTTAAATACTTTTCCATAATTTTTAGATTCTTTATTTACAATTTCATATGTTCCATCTTTTCTTAAAATATATGCAACTATTTATAATCTTTAATCACTTGTTAAATAAAATTAATCATGAGCCATAGAAAATGCAAATCTAGTAAAATTATTAATAGATGCACCAAAATATCCCTCTTATAAATCAGGATATTCAGTTCTTTTTTAATTTGCAAAGTCTTCTTCATTTATTTCATTACTCTCTAACTTTTATTCTAATTCAGCCACTCTTTAATCATAAGTCTTTTTCCATTCTTCAAATGATCCATCTAAGAATTTAGACAATGTCATATATATAATACTCTAAAGAGGTACTAAATCCTAATAGTATATAAGAATAGCTCTTTTATTTGAATAATTAATCATTCTTAAAGCTTACCTATCTTTTTTCTTTTATATTTATAAATCAAATGGTTTTCTTACTTTAGGTATTTGTTCAAAATTATTAACATTAAATGCAGTTTTCATTGAATTATTAAGATCAACTAATCTAATTACTTCTTCTTATGTTTTTCTAACTAAATAATCCATAAATTTTGTTTATAATTGATTCATAAATTCATTTGGATAAAATCCACTTTAAATTACTTATTACATTATTTATCCTTATAAAGGTTTTAAATATTCTTTAGCAATTGCATGAGCTTAAGCTTTAAAAATGACTTTTTGCATTCTCTCTTATTTCTAAGAATACTTTTTCAAAACTTCAGTTTTTTGATCAATCAATTATTTTTCTCTATCAACTGTAACATGTTATTTAATTTTCTCATTTACTCTTCTCTTCTCAAAAGCTTCTTTAAATCTATACATAGCCATAAATTCTTCTTCTTATTCTATTTCTAAACAAGCTTATTCTAAAGTCTTTGTGCAAATCACATTCAAAATAGGTGTTACTTCTCTGTCAAAATCAAATAATTCATAATCCTCTACTTAAGTTGCAGCATCTATTCCTGTTTTTTTTGGAATAAAAGGAGGATCTTCTGGTTTTTTAAACAATTTATCAGTTTAAGTTGATAAAGTATTTTTTTATTATTCACATTAAGCTAATGTATCTGTTAAAAAGAATTCTAAATTAACTTATATCCTAGGATTGGCTGTGGCTTTGATATCATATGTGTCTATGATAATACAGGAATAATATACCTTCTTTTTTTAGTTTCCTTTTGAAATTATTCAATTATGCTGACATATTCTCTACTTTAATACGCTCTTTTTCTAAACGTATATATTCTTATTCCTATTCCATTGGAGTACGTTGCTTAATTTTCTACAATTTTAATACATACATACGTGATCCTTCATTAAATTTTAAAAAGTTTGCATAGGCTTTGATATTTAATTTTATTCGTTTATTCTATACTTTCCTCTACTTGGTACTACTCTTGGTTCTGCTGAAAAGTTCTATTGTGTTGGTTATATCTGTTAACTTAAAAATGTGATTAATTAAGGTAATCCATCCCCATTTATTGCAGAAATTGGCAAGATTGGAACTTCACCAACACCCAAGAAGTTTCTTAATTCTCCTTCTTCAATAGTTTGAATATCTGCTTTTGTTTGCAAGATAATTAATTATTCTTTGCCATTTATTTACTCTAATGCTGCCTTACTATGATGCAACTGTTGCATGTTACTACCATCCAAACAGAAGATCATCACATCTGAATTTGGCATATCTTCATTGACTTCCAAAGTCATATTGTTTATTTGATGTTAGTCATTTAAAACTTTGGCTAATGTTGTTTTTCCACTACCCTCCAAACCTACTAATGAAATTTTATATGACATTAATTAATAAATATATATTTTTCAAAATATCATTGTTACTCTAATTCAGAGAGTTAAATCTTATGTCTTAGGTTAATACATTCAGTATTAGTATTTATATTTATTTAATGTTTCTCAATATATTCTGCAAATTCAGCATATTAATGTAGATTATTCAATTTATCATAGAATTATTAAAATGATTAATCATTTTTATCTAAAATATTCAAAATTATTTTCAAATCAGGTGTTATTTATATCAATGTTTAAGTGAGATTTGAATTTCCATGATTATATAGATACTCATATTTTGAAATTAATTTTATTAAACATTTTTAATTTGGAAAGTTTTGAATATAAAATTTAATTACTCTAGTAACTTCTTCAACTAATTCATTCTATTAAGTTTCTATTAACTTTTCAAAATAAGACAATTAATTCTATATAAAATCATCATCTATTTATCCAGCACCATATGTAAATTGGCATAATTCATATAAATAATTTATATCAACTTAATGATTAAATTGCAATTATTAATTTGTATTTTTATTGTAATACTTTTAATTCTAAATTGATTATCCTATATAAAAGATTAATTTCACTGGAACCTTCTTTTATGATATTATATTAAATAAAGTAACAGCATATTCCTCTTTATATGCTATTTTATCAATTAAATAAGCTATAAAATGATCATCAATAATTTCTTATTTTTATAAAATATATAGGATTAAATCCAAATCTGATTCATCAATCTCTTTCATTTAAACACAATCATATAATATTGTTGAGATTAATTAAGAAGGAAGACATTAAGTTAATAAACTTAATAATTAATCCATTCCTACTTTATTTGCTATTGTTTAAAGATAATGTAATAATAATTCATTATGATTCTATAATTGTATTAACTTCAACATATAATCAAAATAGAAATAGTTTGATCTTTCTAATATCAAAATAATTAACGAACATATTAATTCAACCGTGTGTTGTTACTCAATATCATTCATAAGTTCTTGATATAGAAACTACAATACCAAATCAAATTACAATGCATTATAATGAATATTACATAATTATATTACAAGTTAATAGCATTTGCAAGAAAAAAGACTAAAAAGAAGAGCTTCTATTTACTATAAATTCTCATTCAATAATAATGATTTCATATGTTATTCTAGATGTTCATTAGACTCTTTTATTTTCAAATAGTATTGAATATACTTTTACCATGTATTTGTAGATATATCATTCTATTAATATAAGATTTATGTAACAAAAGCAATTTGATTCTAATTAATTAAATGTATTATCATTGAATTTCTTATATCAATATCCATTATTTATATGTAATTGTAATAAGTTTGGTTTAATTAATCAAATTCTATTTTACTTAATAGATTCTTCATACACTTTTTGATTTACTTTTATAATAATAATTAAGGTTTCTACATCTATTATGATAATCTTAAATTGAATTCTGCAATAAATTTAAGAATCTATTTATTATCTGAATATTCTTAATAAATATTTTCTAATTAAATAAAATGTCCAACCACTTCATGTATTTATTTCAATTTATGAGGTATATTAATATTATCAATCTAAGTCTATTTGGTTATTTCTGTATAAAACACTACAAATTCATTTTTATATTTATCATTCCCCATATATTCAATAAAAGCATCTGTACAATTTACTATTGTCTAGTAAGATAATTATTTCTATATTGAATGACATTCACTAAATAAATGTTTCTTGAGTGTATCAATAAAATCAAAAAAATAACAACTATTCCCCAATAATAGTATCTCAATCAATTTGAAAATACTTTATACTATAATAAATTTAGCATAATTTAAATACATTTTTATATTGACTATGTTGTTTTATTTAGATTACTCTTTAGTAATGCACTTAAGTTTGAATTAATTAATTCTGCTATTTTGATATCTAATAATATTTTCAACTTTGAAAACTCATCTAAAATCAAACTTAATGCTTTTAGTGCATAAGCATCATCAAAATCAGTATCCAAAGAACCATCAGCTATTCTCATAAAAAAATTTAATATAGCCAAAATATTTTTTTCTGTCTCTTACTTATTCAACAAATAACCTTTGCATGATTATCCAATTTAAGTAAGTACTTCATCATTTAATACTTAAATATTCACAATAATTATTTTATTGTTTGATAATTACTTTATTCTATAACATATTCGAAGAAACCTATATGTGTATGGTAAATTCATTATAGACACATTTTCCTTTAGTGTATGCAATAACTAAATGATTTAAGCATGATAACTATTCTATTTTTAATTTCTTTCTATTAATCTATTTTCAATCTATATAAATATTCTTACAATAAAATATGCTCATCTAAATTATTTAACTTATTTAAATGCTATATTTAGATCAAAAATTAAAGAATAATCTTTAAATCCTGTTCCTTAGTGTTGTTTATAAGTATTATAGTGTGAATTTCAAGTATTTCTTTGCTCACTTCTGGTTTCTCTAAATCTGCAATCATCTCACGAATAAGCTTAAATATTTTTCTATATAACTTACTCCATTTAATGATTTATTTTTAGTTTTTATATTTTTTAATTGGTTAACAATAGCATTAACTTTCATTATTTAATTTTATTAAGAACTTAGTATGTTTATTATTTTTTCCTAAAATTTTATATAATTATTCTTATTTATAACAAAAACACTAAATCAATAATTAAATATTAGAATTTTATACTCTATTATCAATTAAACAATTAAGTAATATAATTAACTACTTTTATATTAGATTTATAACTTATCAAAAATATAATTTAAACTGATGAGTTACATATATAATGATGAAATAAACTTATAAAGATGAAGTAATTATCATTATTAAGGTTGGAATGATAATATATTCATTTTAAGAACATTATTTCTTCTATTTTTTAGATTAATTTATTGTTTTAATTAATCTAAAAAAAAGTAATTAGATTTTTCATATAAATTCTGAATTAGTTAAAAAGAGAACATTATATAAATTATAATTTCTTTTGTAAATTAATATCTATTTTGATAATCAAATCTGTTAATATGAAATAATTTAAATGTTCTATTAATCTTTTAGATTAATTTCTTCAAGATTTCCTTTCAATCTTATTGCCTTATTATCTTACAATATTAGCAATTCTTAATCTAGAATATTAGTAAATTTCTATTTTAAAGCATCAATTTTTATTTAGAAATAGAGATCATTGAGATTTTATATTTTTTAACTTTCAATCAATAATTCTGCATTATTTAGTTTGATTTATACATGTTCTTATTTATTGTCTTCAATCAATTATTCGAATCTACTCATAGATACTTTTACTTTATCTAATTATGCTGCTAATTATTAGTATTATGATTCATTAGATTGTAAATTTACTTCTAAAAATAACCCTTAATCAAACAGGTAATTTGTTTATTCAATCATCTTGCTTAAACCTCCAAATTAAAGATCATTAAAAGCTTATTAATAGGAACTCTTTTTTTCTTAAAGAAATTATTTAAATTTATCAAATCCTTCTTATAATTAATCTTCTATCTCTTTTAATTACCATGTAATATTAGATTTTAGAATTTTAAATTATTAAAAAGTCTTCGTTTTAATAGTTTCTATAACTTCATCATCATAGCTTAAATTATTTTAGCTTTTCAGAATTAGAAATAATGCCTCTTGAATATCAAATAGATTATGTCCTTTATGGTCTCTAGCACAATCTTAACATAACAATAGATCATTATTTTCTTTACAATCTTATTCAGCACAAATCTTTTCTATTGGTTTACTATGTAATTAACATAACCTTTCTTAACATTAAAATTCAGGAATGGTAGTATTATTATTTTAAATTATAAAAAAATTAGAATTAACCTAAAGTTATTGAAAATAATTACCAATTATTTATTTTTTTATTTCTCCTTTTTCAACTTTTCATCAAAAGGTTAAATTAAAAATTCATTTGTTTTTTCTTCTATTACAATCATACTGTGAGTAGTTGAACTTATATCCATTTCTTTAATTTTAGAATTAGATATAATCTTTGAGTTCTCTAATATTTAGGAACTCTAAGTACTAAAAGAGTCTTATTTATTCAATATTATAATAGAAGATTATGATAACTCTTATATATTTTTTTATTATTAATCAATTTGGTGAGGAGGAATAATTACACTTTATTATTAATACTATTATTATTAATCAATATGGTGAGGAGGAATAAAAACACTTTATTATTAATATTATTATTATTGTTATTATTGTTATTATTATTGTTAATAATTATAATTATAAGAGCTCTAATTGTATTAACTTGGCTAATAAATAATTTATGACCCATTGTTATATCCTGTTACTTTCTAAAATTCTGTCGTTTGACTTTCAACATAAGGTTAATAAAATTAATTGTTTTGATTTTAATGTACATATGTAGTATCCAATTATTATTATGGAAAAGATGAATTTGGTTATGTCATTTAAGACTAAATTTATTGACTTATTAATAGTGGATCAACTGGTGGAGGCATAGGAGTTGACATATATAATCCACTGCTAGGAGGTATTGGTATTTGTTATGATTATGTTAATTGAGAAGATGGCTAATTTATCATTTATTTACTTACTTGATTCATTTAAGATTCAGGATTAGGTGAAGTTACACTTCCAAATATTGGACTTTGGTTCATTAATATTTATTTTCTTATTTAATTTTCTGTATTCAAAAACTATTTTATAACTTATAAACTATAAATGAGCACATAATAATTTATAAGCGAAAACTAAAATAACCATAGAAAACAGATGAGATATATTAAAAAAAAATCAATATGATATTTTTATATTTTATTTATATATTTTTTAAATGGTAGAAAATCAATATCACATCACTTATTTAAAAATACTCTTAAGTTTAAGTATAGTCTAAAAATTACATTTATTTATGAATCCCAATATATTATAAGGTCTTATCTTATATGATTATAGATTTTCTATAATATCTTAAGAATCTTGATGGATTTATTAAATGAGATTTCAGTATTAATTTCAATATCTTACAATTTATTACTACATGATTGAATTAAATGGTTTTTTCATAGAACTTTTACTATTATTCTCTTGAAAATTAATAAATTATTTAATTTAAAATAATTTTAATTAAAATGGTCTACATGTATTAGATAAAGAAAGAATTAAATTCTTGATATAGGCTTAAGAACTTAGAAAGAATTTTAATTTATTATTTGAATTAGAACATGATTAATAGATTTAAGGCTATATTAGATCCTGAGCAACTTAAATATGTATTAATTTGAATATCATTTACTCAAATTTTATTGATAATTTCAAAATATCAAGAGAGCAGTTATCACCAACAAAATTTAAGAAATTTTTACAAAAGAACTGTAAACTATCATATAAATACGTTAAATGTCAAAAATTGAGGGCATAAAGAATCAGTAGAATATAAGAAATCAAATAATTTTCTTTGTAAATATTATCCTATTAGCTAAAAAAAACTTCAATTGGATGAAGCAAAATTTACAAATTGGCAATCAAAAAAAAAAGTAAATACAACTAATATTGCGAATTTAAGAAAATATATCTTTTATGGGGATAATTGGAAATAATTCATTTAGACTATTCAAATTAGTTGAAGGATCATCTAAAAGGTGTGTCTTTCTATAATTTCTCAATGAGGTTATATACTAATTAAATCAAAATAATGCTTAACATTATAAAAATTATTAATAATCTAATCTTACATTTTTGATAAGTATATAATTTAATCTCTTTATCCAAGAAAATACTTGAATTTCCTATCAAAAAAGGGGATCAATTTTATATATTGAATGTCAAAGAAAGATTAAAATATATTCATTTGAAATACTTATATATATTTATTATGATAGTTAATAGGATATTTATAGTTGATCTCTTTAAGTATATGCAATTATTATATATTTATTTAATCTTAATGAATATGATTATATTAATTTATAGTTTTAATTTTAATATTCAAATAACATAATTGAAGATAAATTTATAATTTTATAATTGTATTTCTTTAAGATTAAATACATTTATAATCTAAAAATAAATTATTAAATTTTTAATTCTATATTTTTATATTTTTCTATTCATTTTTCAATCGTTTCATAAGATACTCTAGCTTCAAAATCGTCTTATCCAATAATAGTTTGTTTAAAATCAATTTATTTTGGACCAAANTATCTTAAGAATCTTGATGGATTTATTAAATGAGATTTCAGTATTAATTTCAATATCTTACAATTTATTACTACATGATTGAATTAAATGGTTTTTTCATAGAACTTTTACTATTATTCTCTTGAAAATTAATAAATTATTTAATTTAAAATAATTTTAATTAAAATGGTCTACATGTATTAGATAAAGAAAGAATTAAATTCTTGATATAGGCTTAAGAACTTAGAAAGAATTTTAATTTATTATTTGAATTAGAACATGATTAATAGATTTAAGGCTATATTAGATCCTGAGCAACTTAAATATGTATTAATTTGAATATCATTTACTCAAATTTTATTGATAATTTCAAAATATCAAGAGAGCAGTTATCACCAACAAAATTTAAGAAATTTTTACAAAAGAACTGTAAACTATCATATAAATACGTTAAATGTCAAAAATTGAGGGCATAAAGAATCAGTAGAATATAAGAAATCAAATAATTTTCTTTGTAAATATTATCCTATTAGCTAAAAAAAACTTCAATTGGATGAAGCAAAATTTACAAATTGGCAATCAAAAAAAAAAGTAAATACAACTAATATTGCGAATTTAAGAAAATATATCTTTTATGGGGATAATTGGAAATAATTCATTTAGACTATTCAAATTAGTTGAAGGATCATCTAAAAGGTGTGTCTTTCTATAATTTCTCAATGAGGTTATATACTAATTAAATCAAAATAATGCTTAACATTATAAAAATTATTAATAATCTAATCTTACATTTTTGATAAGTATATAATTTAATCTCTTTATCCAAGAAAATACTTGAATTTCCTATCAAAAAAGGGGATCAATTTTATATATTGAATGTCAAAGAAAGATTAAAATATATTCATTTGAAATACTTATATATATTTATTATGATAGTTAATAGGATATTTATAGTTGATCTCTTTAAGTATATGCAATTATTATATATTTATTTAATCTTAATGAATATGATTATATTAATTTATAGTTTTAATTTTAATATTCAAATAACATAATTGAAGATAAATTTATAATTTTATAATTGTATTTCTTTAAGATTAAATACATTTATAATCTAAAAATAAATTATTAAATTTTTAATTCTATATTTTTATATTTTTCTATTCATTTTTCAATCGTTTCATAAGATACTCTAGCTTCAAAATCGTCTTATCCAATAATAGTTTGTTTAAAATCAATTTATTTTGGACCAAATATTTTGAACTTTACATATTTTAAGAATTCTGTCATTGAAGTATTCGTTGACATAAATTCTTCAATATTATATTCATAGTCATTTATGTAACCCCTAATTTTTAATTTTTTATAAATATCTCCAATTACTTTAAAAACAACAATACCCCCAGTTTCATTAGTATTTTAATTATTAACTTTTATATTATTAATGGCATAAGCATTTTTGAGTTGAGATTCTTAAAATTATTCATTATTAATATAATAATTTATTGACTTATATGGGTAAATTTTTAAATCTTTACAAATAACTTAAATTATATCGAATAGAGAATAATCATTATAGGCAAACATTTCGATATCATTATTTTACTCTATTTTTATAATTTTTCTCGAAGAAGGCTTTATTAAATTATTAAAATTTAAAGCAAATTGATATTTTTCCATTGAATCTTTATTAACTTCTTTATTTGGGACGATTAATTTTAATATTATACCTTTGGATGTTTCAAAATCTCTTATTTATCGAATATCAAATGGATTAATTTCTGTTTCATTTATAAAAAAAGCAAATGGACGATCAAATTTAAGTTGTTAATTTTTGAATAATTCTATCAAAATATCATGAAAAAGACACGAAACTGGATTTAATTGATATTATTCTATAAATAATTCAATTATATTATCCAATACCACTAATACTTTATATAATTTTTTTTTATAAAATCCCATGTTTTTTCTTTTTAGTCTGCCATATAATGTACAATTATTTTTAAAACCTAATGATTAAATAGTTCTTTCATCGTTTTCTTGAAGATAGCTTCCATTACCTAATTACCATTCTATTTCTTCTTCAAATTAAGGTTACATCGGTTATGAAAAAACTTATTCTATGATTCCTTATACAAATATATAAAATGGAATCTCAGGATCAATAGACAATGATAAATTTAAATTAGCTTTTTCCAAGTTCACAACAACATTAACACTGATTGCACCCATTTTTTTTAGTTTTAGTCTGACATATAATGTACAATTGTTTGTAAAACCTAATGATTAAAGAGTTCTTCTATCGTTTTCTTGAAGATTGCTTCCATTACCTAATTAACATTCTATTTTTTCTTCATATTAAGGTTACATCCGTTATGCAAATATTTATTCTTTGATTTCTTATGCAAATATATAAAATGGAATCTCAGGATTAATAGACAATGATAAATTTAAATTATTTATTTCTAAGTTCACAACAACATTAACACTGATTGCACCCATTTTTTTTAGTTTTAGTCTGACATATAATGTACAATTGTTTGTAAAACCTAATGATTAAAGAGTTCTTCCATCGTTTTCTTGAAGATTGCTTCCATTACCTAATTACCATTCTATTTTTTCTTCATATTAAGCTTTCATCCGTTATGCAAATATTTATTCTTTGATTTTTTATGCAAATATATTAAATGAAATCTCAGGCTCAATAGACAATGTAAAATTTAAATTATTTATTTCTAAGTTCACAACAACATTAACACTGATTGAATGAGGTTAATATTCCCTTTCATGGCCCTAATTCATAAGTAAATACATTTATAATATTTTTTAATTTTCTATTAATAATAATAATAATATATATAAATATATATATATAAATAAATGTTTAATGAAGATTATTATAGAAGATTAATAGTTTAATCATAAAATTAATAAATAAGAATAATAAATACAGATAGACCATGGTATCCTAAAATGAAATAAAAAGATGGAATTAGACCATTATTTAGTGAAGATTTTAAATTTTTTGTATTACCACCTAATAAGATGATTTCATTATTAAAAAGACATAAAATAACAATACCAACAGATGAATAAATAAGAGAATTTCTTAAAAATCATTCATTAAAGAATATTGTAGATTATGGAGTTAAATTAAAGAGTACTACAGAAATTAAAGTACATCCTCCTTAAGTAATTATTTAAAATTAAAGAAAAAGAGCAAAAACTAAATAATAATAATTAATAATTAATAAAAAGACTATTAATATATAACCTATTAATAATAATATAATAGAACCAACTAAATAATCTACATCATCTTAATATAAACCTTCATATCATAAAAATTTAAAAATATATAAAACTGATTATTCTAATTAAGATCTATATACAATCATAAATAAATTAAATTTCTCACCTATGTAAATTAATCAATCACCTAAATAAACAAAATAAAATATACATATTAATACTTTACCATCTTAAACATATGTAAAACCGATTGTACCAAAAAGTGTATTACCTTATCCTCCTAGATCAAAGAAACAGCTTCGATAATTACTGTTGAGAGCCATTAATAAGATAAAGAAATTAGGTTTAACTATTAAGTATGTAATGTAAAATAAGATATTTTCAAAAAAACCATATGAAAAACCACTTTCAAAACAATTTATTCATGCAGCTAAAAAGAATTAAATAGATGAAATCAATAATCTTCTATCAATCAATCCTTATCTTGTTTTTGATTTTGATTTTTATAATATGACTGCACTTCATTGGGCATGTAAAAAAGGTTATGTAGAATTAGTAGAATTGCTTTTGTAATATCATTCTGATGTTGATGGAATTGATATTTTATATAGAACACCATTAATTTTATCAATAGAGGAAAACCATTTGGAAATCACACATATTTTATTGGCTAATGGTGCATACCCTTGGAGTACTGCTATTACAGATTTAAAAACTGTTTTAGATTCTAATGAAAAAGCTAAAAATCTATTAACTAAAGTTAGAAGGGTAAAATCTATTCTAATTATCTTTTTTAGTTGCAAATTATGGCGAAATGGACTTAATAGAAGGAATACCTCAGTTTAATATGAATCTTAATTACTTATATTTATTAAAAAACAATATCTAATAATAGTCACAGTTTCTTTCTGCGATATGGAACTGGAGAATAACTTCTAGATATAGCAAACCATTTTTTTCGATTCTCAACTATTTCGATATGTTTGCGAAATTCTTTCATTTGATCTTTAAAGTTATAGAAAGGTCTTCTATCTATTTATGCTAATCGTCTTAGTATCAAATGATTGGCTTCAGATATCTCCACTGAATTAGGGTATTTCCACGGTTTTAAAGCTTTCATAATAATTATTTTTATTTATAATTTAAGTTTAGTACTTATATAATTACTAAATAAATCTCAGATGTCATACTAATATAATTAATGCCAATTAAATACAATCAAAATTAAGAATATGTAAACGTTATTTATTATGAAAAATGAATGGTTNTGAGATGAATATGTTGCTGAAGATCGTTAAGGGAGCAATTAGTTCAACACAATAAATGAGAACTATATTTTAAAATTTTGGCAAAGTTCTTCAGTTAATTAGAGTACAATAAAAATATTAATTTTTTATGTAATATGAAGAAATTTTGTGAGTTACCTAATAAAAATAAAAATATCTGTTTTGAGTTGTGTTTTGGATAGAAATATTTCAAATGAAAGGATTTACACTCTAAAAAGAATGGATCTGAGATATCTTTCTAAATTTACTTAGTGTTCCAAGAATGAAAGGAGAGACTGATTTAACTTAAAGTAAATTAAAAATTGGAATTTTGATGAAAAAGCTCTAAAATAATTATTAAATGATGATTATTTATTAGAAATTAGTTTAAGTTAAAGTTTTAATCAACATCCTATAAAGATAAATAATCAAAAAATTATATAAACAATTTACTAGAATAAATAACAGAGATATTTGAATTAATTCATAAAATTACATGTTAAATAATATATAGTTTATAGAAATATAAATAAAATTTTAGATTGAAAATGAATTTTATATTGATAATTTAATCAATTTTATACTATTTGAGACAATTCCAAATTAAATGGTTCTTTTTAACTATTTAAAGAGAATTCATCATTTTCTTTATTTCTTTTTTTAAGTTTAACAAGTGTTTGTACCTTTTCAACTGCAGTTTCAAGTAGAGTATCTACATCATTGATTTTTTTTGTATCACAAAATGGATCAATTGATTTTATTATTCTATTTAATAATCTTCTATATGTTTCATCTAAATTAGTTTTTAAATATTTACCTTTCATTTTAAGTAATTATGATTTTATTTAAGCATCATCCATTTATAATTTCATTTTTTATATTTCTTCATTTCTATCTTTTAATAATTTATTAATTTCACTCATTTTTGTATTATGTTCTAAAATAATTAAAATTAATATAATACCTTAATGTTTTTAATGATATTATTTTACTGTTTAAGCAAATTAGTGTTCTTTTTCATTTTGATTCTTTTTTAACTATTTGATTTCCTCCTTTAAATTTTAATTTTATGTCTATAATTTTGTTAATTTACTTTCATTTTCCATCATAGATTACTCTAATAAATGTGAATTATCACTTAATTATTAATTAATAACATTTTTATCAGATTCTATTTAATGATAAGATTATTCTAATTAAGTATATTAATGCTATAATTAGGATATTTATTAATTAAATGTTTCATTTAATTTCTATAATTCTTAATTTTCAAGTTCTTTTTATTTACTAACACAAATAGATTCACTTAACTAATTTTATAATCTTCTATTTTCTTATGTCAAACTTGAATAATTATTTTCAATCAATTTTTATTATTATTCAAGTGTTTTATTACATTATTATAATTAACTATTAGTATGTGTTGTATTTTAAAGTTAAACTTCAAGATCTTCTTTTTATTTTAATATAGTTTCTGTTTATATTCTTGATTCATCTAAATTATTGTTTAAAATTAAGACTTTTTATTAATATTATTACAATTCTTATTAAGTTTAATTAAGAATAGATAATTATAATTGTTAATCATTAATCTATTATTCATATTACAATATAATTAAATTAGATTAGTTTAATTTATCTTCAATTTATTTTAGTTTTTGTTTATTTTATTAAATGGCATCCTCCAAATTTTACCTTTCTTTCTATTTTTATTCCATTTAAATATCATTTTATTAACAAACTTAATTTAGATTACTCAATTGTTTTTTTTATTTTGAATTGGTATCAAGTAAATTTTAATTTAATTCCTCAAGTTCTTTTACTTAATCTTCAAGAATCTTATTTTTTTAATGTGAAATAATCTCTTTTTGCATAATTTATGATAGTTTTCCTTATAAATCAGCATACTCTTTTTACTAAGTAGCAATTTACTCTAATAGTTCATTTTATTTAATATTAAATTATTGAACTTATTCATTTTATCTAGCACTAAACTATTAGTATGTTGATGCTTATTAATTACAATAAACCTTTAATTATTCCTCTTAAACAACAGTTAAATCTCTTAATCTTTTGAGTTCTATTTCATTAAGTTTTATCTAATCTTTAAAAGATAGTTATTCAGCATTTAAAGAATCTATTTCTTCTTTAAGTTCATGATTTTTTTCAGATGTAATTACTAATTAGGATTCTTATTTTTTTAATTTTGATTTTAATGTTTCCAATTCTTCTTCTAATTTGTAAATTTAATTTAATTGTATAAATAAATCATCATCTTTTTATTATTTCAATTTTTCAAATTTTTATTCTTCTTCCTTAATTTTAATGTTTAAATCATTAATTATTATTTTCGATTATGTTAATTAAGTTTATAAATCCTAGATTATCTATTCATTTTGATTATTTTCTAATTCTGTAACATATTATTAACATTATGATGTTAATAAATTAATTTACTTCTTTTATTATTGGATTGTTTCAAATTATGAATTATTGGTTTATTCAAATTCAATTTATTTATCTTCTAACTACTATATTTATTAATTCAATTAGATTTCTTTTTAAATAAATGAAGTAATTTTTCCTTATAATTCAATTTTTTCATTTTCTAATTATTAAATTGATTACAATAATTCATTTTATTTATGATTAAACTATTATGTTAATTCATTTTATCTTGATGTAAATTATAATAGAGTCTATGTTTATTAATTACAATATTAATTAATTTATTCTTCTTAAAATGTACATAAATCTTTTAATCTTTTAATTTCAATTTCATTTAATTTCATTTTATCTTTATTCTAATTTAATGAAGTGTTTAGAGATTCAATTTCAAATTTTTGTTCTTAATTTTTTTCAATTAATAAACCTATTTAAGATTCTTATTTCTTGAGTTTTAATTTAAGGGAATCATATTCTTCTTCTAATTTATCAGTTTAATTTAATTAATTTTAAATCTCCTTATCCTTATCAGATTTTAATTATTCATAATTAGTCTCTATTCCTCTTATCTTCTAATTAAGTTAATTGATGGTTTATTATGATGTACTTATTACATTTTATAATTCTTCTATTAATTGAATATTTTAACAATTTAATTCTTCTTGTTAATTTTTTAATGATAAATTTTCTGTCTAAATAGTTTGTAATTATTGATTAAATTATAAAAGTTCATCATCTTTTCTATTTAAAATATCATTCAATTTTTTTAAACATACTTTTCTATGTTTGCATTTTTCATTTAGGTTAACAATCTCCTATTATAATGAATTGATCTAATCCTTGTATTGATTGAGATGTTCAATATTATCGAACACCTTTCTGTTTACAAGGTCACTAACACTTTCATGATCATTTTTGAATTTTCTTAAATGATATTATAAATGAGGATCAATTAAGTTTTTCTCTCTAACAGTTTCAACAAAGTCCCAACTATTTTTGAGAAGTGATCTGATAGTTTAACTAAGTAGTTAAGAATTTTTAGATGTGAATGATATTTCATCCTAAAGAAAAGAGGATTTTATCTTTCTATCTGGAGATAATCTAATTTAAGCTGCATTAAGGGATATAAGTCTTTAGTCAGATTCTGTATGTTAGAGTCGTGGCGATAACAAGTATTTTGCAAAAAATGTTTCACTATCTATCATTTATATTTAAATTTATAACGACAACTTTTAAATTTCTGTATTATCATTTCATTATAATGAACAATAAATAATATAGCTTCGCTTATTAAATATATAGATAAGACATTTAGTAATATTAAATATTAATCCAAAATCTTAATAAAAAGCATATCATTTTGGTTTTACTTACTAAATCTTTGCACTTAACCATTCAAGTCCTTAATCCAAACCAACTCCAGTCTTAGCACTTCCTCCAAAGCATTAAGAAGGATTCTTATACTTTTTCAATTCGAAATAATCAATAAAAAATTATGGATTTTATGCATCTGGAGAATCCTATTTATTAGCATACACAAGAATTGGAAGATCTTTATTGAATCCTTAAGTCTCTAATAGTAATTTGAATTCATCAAGAGCAATACCAAATCGGATTTTATCAGATGAATCAATTACAAAAATAAGTCCATCAATCTATTTATATCAATTTTAATACTTTTGTTGCATACTATTCCCACATACCTCTATATTAATTTTATCCACTCATATCAGAGAATTAAAAGTTTAAGTTAAATTTTTCTACAGAATCCTTATTAAAACCGACTGTGGGTGCCACTGTTGCATTTTTCTCATTTTTCAAAGCATTTATAATACTTGTTTTCCCTGAATTATCTAAACCTACTACTAATATTTAAACTTTCCTTTTTCCAAAAGCTCCTCCCATTAATTAATCAAGAAAATAATTTTAATAACCAATTAAAATAATATTCAAGTTCTATTTGTCTCAAATAAATCAATTAAATATAATAGAAGAATTAATATTAATAAGAATAATATCAATCAGATATAAGTATGATTATTATTATATGAAATTTAATAATAATAATACTTTATCAATGTTTAATTGATAATGAGTGAATTCTACATTATTAGTAACTTAGAAATTATATTGGTTGTTATTAGAATCTATCTGCTATTAATTTTCTGTTGATTTTATAAAAATCTAATCTTGGTTCACTAGTATCAATACTTTATCTTCTTTTTTTTAAAATGATATCATTCAATGTTTTGCATTTTGGTTAAGTATTCTATTTTTAAATATAAAGATTATACCCTTTTTGGTTATAATAATTATTCTAAGTATTTTTAATCATCTAATTATTCTCCCAAAGTGAAGATAGATCTTTTTTATTGATCAGTTTTTGCATCTGAACTAAAGTCATATACATATAATTATTTCTTCATCTTCTTATTTTATTGTAATAATTATTCTATTTCTATTTTTTATTATTTTAATTGGTCTTCCAAATGATAGTTATATAAGATACTTTCTATTTAATAATTGATTGATATTTTTTCTCATTTACTTCTAAATTCAAGATCATGTTCTATATCTCTGGTAATTTAGGCTTGTAAAGTTAATCACAAGGAAAATCATCAAGAGCTGCTTATTTTGCAAATTCACTATCATATAATTCCAAGTCTACAAAATACAATAGTAATTTAAAAAGCTTTAGAGACAACTTTAAATTTCTAGTTTTTAACTCTTCTATTTAAACATTTACATTTAATATATTTATCTCATTTTTTTGATCATCCTTATCAATTTGTTGAATTTCATTATATTGTGTTGAAACATCAAACTATAATGATTACTATTTTAATGTAGCATAATTTCTCAATTGCAATTCTTAATCTATCATAATATCTTGTTTTTCAGCATTCTTTTTTTCCAATTAGAGTAACTTAATATTATATTTTATGATATTATTATTTTCTTATAGTATTTGTGTAGCTAGCTTTTCTTTTAAAGATTACAATTCTTAATCTATAATAGAAAGGAATTCACCCTTTTATTTTATTTCTTTTTGTTCAAATTGATTTTTGATAGATTTTCTCAAACGATCAGTTTCCATAATTAATATAAATTATGGTAAAAAAAATTGAGGATTCTTTTAATCATGCCTAAAAACTATATGAGTATTAGGAGAAGAAAATAAGAAGGGATAAGCCAGCCTCTGATACATAATTGATGCAAAAATTACTACATTCAGGAACAATAGCAGATAAAATCTCAGCCTTGTCAATTTCAATCAAAGAAAATCCAGATCATGCATTAGGTTCATTAAATAAGTTATTAGAAATTGTACAACTATCTATTAATATATATAGGCTGCATTACCATCAAGAGAGAAAAGCTTAAAAGCTTTATTTTAACTTAAGGATTTATTAGTTCATTTAATTTTAAAGAGAGGTGTTCCATGCAATTTTGAAGAATCAAATTTAACTGATGAATTATAGAAATATTATTGGCATGGAATTAATTAGGTGTTAGTGAAGACCTGTGAAATTCTCATCAAGGCTTCCTAAGATGTTTTACCATATGTGCGAAGACAAATTATTTTAATGATGCTAGAACTACATTGTGCTCATCCAATATATACAAAAGAATTAATAAAAGAAATTGTTAATAAATTTGGTGATAAAGAGAAAACTTTAGTGACTTTACTTACTAAGAAACTTTCAGGAGAATTATCAGTAAAATATTTTATTAATAATAGAAAAAACCTGCATTAACTTATCCATTTTTAAAAGAGACTTATGGATTTATGTATAGACCCAATTTACCTTAAGAAGCTTAGTATTATTGTCTAAATTTTATAAACACAATTAATTTATAAACTCAAGAAACAAGCACTGTAGCTTATATGCTTAAGATTTTCTTTATTTTTTTCAAAAAGATAATGAAGGTTCCATAAGCTGATTAAAAATGCTCAAAATTATTTAGTCAAATTTTAAAAGGAATTAATAAGACTTTACCTTATGGATAATCATTTTTAGATTAATTAAAAGAATTATTTAAAGAAAATGAAAAATTGATTTATAAACTAATTGCTACATCAGAAAATTTTAAAATAAAAATCTAGACTCTATATTTTGTTTATTAAATATCAGATTTAAATGCTCACTTTTATAGAAGTTTATATGAAATTGTATTATTATTATTATATATTTTTAGTTATTATCTTAAGAAATTTAAAGTACAAGTTTAGGTGAATTATTTTTTGATTTGTTATTTTTATCAATAAAATAAGATAATGAAATAGTAAGATAAAAAGCAATCATCAAAAGATTACTATAAATATCAATGCATTCTAATTTGTCATTTACAATTACAGCATTGATTTGTGTTTAAAAACTTTGTATAGAGATACCATAATTATTAGAAGAAACAAATGAAAATTAAGAGTATTTGTATTTCAAAAGAGATCCATTATTTTCAGGAGCATCATCATTTTTAAATGAGATTTAATCATTTACTTCTCATTATCATAATAAAGCATAATAAATAGCTAAATAGATTTTAAATAAAGATTAAAATATTACATAGAAGGTTAATCCACTATTGGAATATTCATAAAGTGCTTTTTTGGCTAAATTTGTAGAAGCAAAAAATAGAGTTACAAATAGAATATCTAATTTATCAGGATCTGTTATTAATGAAGAATAATTTAAATTAAAATTTGAAAAATAAAGAAAATAGGATAATCAACTTAAATAACAAAATAAACCTTAAAGAAAAAGTAGTATAACAAGTGAGGATGCTTATGCAGATGAATTATTTGAAAAAGAATTATAAAAAGGAAATTTTTCAGATGAAGATGAATTAGATTTGAGTATGGATTAAGATGATGATTTAGTAGATTTATCTGAAGATGAAACCTAAAATGAAAATTAATAAAAATAAATTCCAATAATTATGAGAAAAATTTATAAAAGACATAAATTATTAAAAAAATGAATGATTTATTGTTATTAGAAATTGTTAATATAAATTTAGTAAAAGATTTATTAAAAAAATAATAATATAATTTAACAAATATTTTTTATTTTTTATTTTTTGAATAGATATTAATTAATATATATATTAAATAATAATATTGTATAAATCATAATCTTTTAAATGGCATAAATGTATCTAAATGTCTTTTAGTTGTTCTTGGACTAAAGAGATGTCTATGATAATTAACTTAAGTTGTTATTAATTAATTCTTAGAATTATTGAAATGATCTAAATTAATAATTGTTTATTTTTCAACACTTTAATTTTTCGAGAGTGAAGTGTGTTATCTGAATTTCTTTTGTTTAGAATGATTTATATCAAAAAAAGGAACAAATGGCTCAGAAATAAGTTTTTTATGCTTAGGCGAAAGAACTCTATATTAAATTTTTTATACCTCTTTGTTGCAAATGCATAGCTTAGAAAAGATTCATAATCTTTATCTCCTTTATATCTTTCTTCAATTGATTATGGAGACAGATTTTGTTTCTTTCTATCATGGACAGATATACGATCACTTAATAATCTTTTTAATCTTGATTGATGAAATTCTTTCTCTACTTCATTATTTTCATTTTATTAATCAAATTATAAGACAATATTGACTGGAATCAAGTATAATTCACATTAACATGATTTTGATATTGCTCTATACTATCTAAATTATTAGTGACCAATATCTTAATGTCCAAATACACAACCAACTTATAATAAAGAAATTGATATTTGTTTATTTTTATTAACTACCTTAAGTAATTCAACTTCTCCTGACTTTATAAAGTAAATATATTCTGGTATTGTATTTTCATAATATATCACTGAAAAAATAGAAAACTTTTATACAATAATATGTTCAATCATTCCTTTTAATTTACCATCAGATAATGATCTAAATAAAGAATAATTTCTCAATAATTAAATCTTTTCATTTCTTACTTATTAATGATATTATTATAAGATATTTTAAAAGTCATTATTTGTTAATGTCAATAATAAACAATCAGTCACGCATAAAACTGTTGCTGTTCTTCTTACATGACCTATTAATGCAATTTCTCCAAATTAATCACCTTAATGACACATATTTACAATCTTTAAACTTGGAAATCTTTTTTTAATTAATTAATCTAATGCTTTATCAACTTAAAAATTATTTGGATTATGATTATATTCATCAATAATTGCATCTTAATCAAATTGTTTTAAATTCTTCATTCCTAAAAAGTTTGAATATGCCTATTATATTATAATATCTTTTAATGAATCATTTGAAGATTTTGGACTTCCTACAATATCAATTTAATGATATTCATCTAAAATCTATTTATGACTTATCATTCTATTTTTTGGACATAAAATTGCTACTTTCCCTTACAATATAATATAAAATAACTCTACATTATTTGATCCTAATTAATTTTCATAATTCTTTTACCATAATGAAATAATACTTCTTCTTATTTCGTTTCAATTAAATTTAACTTTTTCAACATTTGATAATACAAAATACTATCAAATATTTCTCTTTTTTCTTTAAAAAATTTCAGATCTCCAACTATTTTACTTATTTATTCAACATATTCCTTCTTTTTCTATTTCTAACAAAATACTTATTTTAAATTTTCATATAACATTATTAATATAAATATTTATATTTTATTTATAAGACATAAATGAATTAAACAAATACATCTTATAAATAGAAATGATCATTAAATATCTAACTATTTGAAAAACTTAAATTATATAAATAAATTAGATTATTCTAAAGTAATTATAAAGAATTTTCAGAATTGCTAATTTTGACAACAAATAAAATATATTCATCAAAATAATTTCTTATACTTAAAAGACTGTATTTTTAACTTAGATCAACATTTAAAAGATATATTAAAATTATTTACTAAAGTGTGTTATTTTATTCTTTAATTTTTATTTACAATTGAAATGTTGGATTATTAGTTGTTTAGAACATTAAAAGTATTTTTATCAGTCTATATTTATTATTTATATAAATTCATGTAGAATCATATATGCCCATGCATTATACTTATTAACCATTCATTTTTCATAATAAATAACGTTTACATATTCTTAATTTTGATTGTATTTAATTGGCATTAATTATATTAGTATGACATCTGAGATTTATTTAGTAATTATATAAGTACTAAACTTAAATTATAAATAAAAATAATTATTATGAAAGCTTTAAAACCGTGGAAATACCCTAATTCAGTGGAGATATCTGAAGCCAATCATTTGATACTAAGACGATTAGCATAAATAGATAGAAGACCTTTCTATAACTTTAAAGATCAAATGAAAGAATTTCGCAAACATATCGAAATAGTTGAGAATCGAAAAAAATGGTTTGCTATATCTAGAAGTTATTCTCCAGTTCCATATCGCAGAAAGAAACTGTGACTATTATTAGATATTGTTTTTTAATAAATATAAGTAATTAAGATTCATATTAAACTGAGGTATTCCTTCTATTAAGTCCATTTCGCCATAATTTGCAACTAAAAAAGATAATTAGAATAGATTTTACCCTTCTAACTTTAGTTAATAGATTTTTAGCTTTTTCATTAGAATCTAAAACAGTTTTTAAATCTGTAATAGCAGTACTCCAAGGGTATGCACCATTAGCCAATAAAATATGTGTGATTTCCAAATGGTTTTCCTCTATTGATAAAATTAATGGTGTTCTATATAAAATATCAATTCCATCAACATCAGAATGATATTACAAAAGCAATTCTACTAATTCTACATAACCTTTTTTACATGCCCAATGAAGTGCAGTCATATTATAAAAATCAAAATCAAAAACAAGATAAGGATTGATTGATAGAAGATTATTGATTTCATCTATTTAATTCTTTTTAGCTGCATGAATAAATTGTTTTGAAAGTGGTTTTTCATATGGTTTTTTTGAAAATATCTTATTTTACATTACATACTTAATAGTTAAACCTAATTTCTTTATCTTATTAATGGCTCTCAACAGTAATTATCGAAGCTGTTTCTTTGATCTAGGAGGATAAGGTAATACACTTTTTGGTACAATCGGTTTTACATATGTTTAAGATGGTAAAGTATTAATATGTATATTTTATTTTGTTTATTTAGGTGATTGATTAATTTACATAGGTGAGAAATTTAATTTATTTATGATTGTATATAGATCTTAATTAGAATAATCAGTTTTATATATTTTTAAATTTTTATGATATGAAGGTTTATATTAAGATGATGTAGATTATTTAGTTGGTTCTATTATATTATTATTAATAGGTTATATATTAATAGTCTTTTTATTAATTATTAATTATTATTATTTAGTTTTTGCTCTTTTTCTTTAATTTTAAATAATTACTTAAGGAGGATGTACTTTAATTTCTGTAGTACTCTTTAATTTAACTCCATAATCTACAATATTCTTTAATGAATGATTTTTAAGAAATTCTCTTATTTATTCATCTGTTGGTATTGTTATTTTATGTCTTTTTAATAATGAAATCATCTTATNAAATAGTTGAGAATCGAAAAAAATGGTTTGCTATATCTAGAAGTTATTCTCCAGTTCCATATCGCAGAAAGAAACTGTGACTATTATTAGATATTGTTTTTTAATAAATATAAGTAATTAAGATTCATATTAAACTGAGGTATTCCTTCTATTAAGTCCATTTCGCCATAATTTGCAACTAAAAAAGATAATTAGAATAGATTTTACCCTTCTAACTTTAGTTAATAGATTTTTAGCTTTTTCATTAGAATCTAAAACAGTTTTTAAATCTGTAATAGCAGTACTCCAAGGGTATGCACCATTAGCCAATAAAATATGTGTGATTTCCAAATGGTTTTCCTCTATTGATAAAATTAATGGTGTTCTATATAAAATATCAATTCCATCAACATCAGAATGATATTACAAAAGCAATTCTACTAATTCTACATAACCTTTTTTACATGCCCAATGAAGTGCAGTCATATTATAAAAATCAAAATCAAAAACAAGATAAGGATTGATTGATAGAAGATTATTGATTTCATCTATTTAATTCTTTTTAGCTGCATGAATAAATTGTTTTGAAAGTGGTTTTTCATATGGTTTTTTTGAAAATATCTTATTTTACATTACATACTTAATAGTTAAACCTAATTTCTTTATCTTATTAATGGCTCTCAACAGTAATTATCGAAGCTGTTTCTTTGATCTAGGAGGATAAGGTAATACACTTTTTGGTACAATCGGTTTTACATATGTTTAAGATGGTAAAGTATTAATATGTATATTTTATTTTGTTTATTTAGGTGATTGATTAATTTACATAGGTGAGAAATTTAATTTATTTATGATTGTATATAGATCTTAATTAGAATAATCAGTTTTATATATTTTTAAATTTTTATGATATGAAGGTTTATATTAAGATGATGTAGATTATTTAGTTGGTTCTATTATATTATTATTAATAGGTTATATATTAATAGTCTTTTTATTAATTATTAATTATTATTATTTAGTTTTTGCTCTTTTTCTTTAATTTTAAATAATTACTTAAGGAGGATGTACTTTAATTTCTGTAGTACTCTTTAATTTAACTCCATAATCTACAATATTCTTTAATGAATGATTTTTAAGAAATTCTCTTATTTATTCATCTGTTGGTATTGTTATTTTATGTCTTTTTAATAATGAAATCATCTTATTAGGTGGTAATACAAAAAATTTAAAATCTTCACTAAATAATGGTCTAATTCCATCTTTTTATTTCATTTTAGGATACCATGGTCTATCTGTATTTATTATTCTTATTTATTAATTTTATGATTAAACTATTAATCTTCTATAATAATCTTCATTAAACATTTATTTATATATATATATTTATATATATTATTATTATTATTAATAGAAAATTAAAAAATATTATAAATGTATTTACTTATGAATTAGGGCCATGAAAGGGAATATTAACCTCATTCAATCAGTGTTAATGTTGTTGTGAACTTAGAAATAAATAATTTAAATTTTACATTGTCTATTGAGCCTGAGATTTCATTTAATATATTTGCATAAAAAATCAAAGAATAAATATTTGCATAACGGATGAAAGCTTAATATGAAGAAAAAATAGAATGGTAATTAGGTAATGGAAGCAATCTTCAAGAAAACGATGGAAGAACTCTTTAATCATTAGGTTTTACAAACAATTGTACATTATATGTCAGACTAAAACTAAAAAAAATGGGTGCAATCAGTGTTAATGTTGTTGTGAACTT